GGCGTGTCTTGCAGGGGAGAGGCGTGTCTTGCAGAGGAGAGGCGTGTCTTGCAGGGGAGAGGCGTGTCTTGCAGGGGAGAGGCGTGTCTTGCAGGTGAGAGTGCGTCGAGTACCGTCACGGCAATATTTCATCTCTTGACCGCACCGCTTCCGTCGAAGAGAGTGGTCTTTGCTTCACGAGAGTCTCAAGTGCACACGGGGCGGATGTTGGGCCATGCCTCGCTTTGGTCAAAAGGGTTTCGCTTTGCCTCCACGAGACTTGGATGCTATACGAGCACGGTGGAATGGGCGATGATGAGGAACGTCACGATGCCAGGTCCCTCCTGTCAGCCTGATAAACGGCCATGTACCCATGTACAGTATGTGTAATGATGATGTAGGTATGTATATATTGTTCTGCCGTAACCGGTATGCCGTCCGGAAGGTTTTGCTCTCACTTGCTCAACGCTCCCTCACTCGCTTTCCCGGTCATCACATCTTGTTCCTCCTCCGATCCAAGTAATTACTTCCCCCTCCGCTCCGAGGCATACAAACATGTATATGTTGTCTCCCGAGGACAAGGACATGTATTCTCTCCCAAAGACAAGCACTATCAGCCATTATGCAACGTGCCTCAATACTCACAAATTCACACTCACACGTCTGGCCTACACCAACGTGGTAAGGTCCATTCATCCAGATCGCGAGGACCCCTTGGGTCGTTACTACAGAGCACATCCTTATGCATTCGAACCATGTATCCATACGTTAGCGAAGATCTGGAACCGCCACGCCACGCCACACCATGCCACCAACTAGCCGGCCGGCTGGCTTGCTGCCGAGGACATTCTGACTTTGACGACACGAATTTCTGACTCTGTATTGCCGGATTCCCTTAATCTGAGACTCTGTACGGAGTCCACTGATCAATGAGATGAGCGGCGGTACTGATTTCTGACCATGTCTCCAGGCAGAAGAGCTGCTGTCGGTGCTGTGCTTACGTTCGTCTCTTTTATTCTCGACTCTTGCCTGTCGAATATCTAAGTGCTGCGTGAGCTCCGTTTCATATCAATTACGAGATTCATGTCCATATCCACGCAAAACAGATAACGAGCTATAAGTAGAGGAGTCTTCTAGCTTGGTCGACCGCCCACACGCGCATCGAGTGGACGCGTACGTGTCTATCAATCGGTGTCGCGCCACTCGCCCCCAGAGCGCCTGATACGTCCTCGACACGACACGTCGAAAGAGCCTCCTAATCCACAGCACGACGTAGGAAGCCGTCCATCCGGTGGTTCCCAACCCAGTCGCCGTGTTCAAAATGGTTCAAGACCCAGCCTCCAACGTCGACAAACCCGTAATCGTCATCGTCCCAGGTTCGTTCTCCCCGGCGCCATTCTACGCAGATGTCGTCGCCGCATTGCGCTCGCATGGATACGAGGCCATTGTCGAAACACTGCCATCATCCGCTCGGTCGCCTCTTCGGGGCGAGAAAGCAGCGACCATGCAGGATGACGCGGACCATTTCCGTAACATCGTAGAGAAGATTGCCGATCAGGGCAGGGACGTCGTCATCATGACACACTCGTATGGCGGCTTTCCAGGGACGGAGTGCTCCAAGGGTCTTTCGAAGGAAGAGCGAAACACAGCGGGCAAAACTGGGGGCATTTCGAGGTTCGTATATGTCACCTCGGTGGTGCCAACGCCGGGACACTCATTGAAGGATCTGATGGGCGAGTTGGTCCCGTCGTTCATCAACGTAGAGGTGAGCACGCAGCTGGTGCAGGCCAGCAGAGAGACTGACTAGCGGAACAGGGCGAGTTCATGAGCCACGTCACCGATGAAAGTGCCAGGTTGACCTTTTCCGATATGCCATTCGAGGAGGCCAAGGTCTGGGCAGATAGGATGTCTTATCACTCCGCAGCTAGCTTCGATGGAAAGCTCACATATCCGGGGTACAACAAGATCCCAGTGTCGTATGTCTTTTGTGAGCAGGATGTGATCCTGCCGCCGGAGTTCCAGAGATCCGTGATTGAGGGTATTGAACGGGAGAGCGGGAAGAAGGTAGATGTTCTTCGCCTGAGCACGGCGCATTGTCCGAATATTAGTGCTCCTCAGGAACTTGCTGCCACTGTCGTTAAGGCGATAGCAACAGCAGGTTGAGACGTAGTGTTGGATGGAGATTTGACCTACTAAGTGTTGATTGATTGACTGCTTTGATCTATGCTTCACGAGTTCATGGCGCATGTACTCTCGCTGGAGTCGTCTAGTAGAATAGATAACCCCATTTTGCGGAGAACTCTTTTCCGATCCGCCACGCTTTAGGATCCCAGGACGCTGCACCAGAGTCCAAGGTAAAGCTTGTAAGGCAGAACAAGTCCGCCAGGAATTCTTCCTCGTCAATGATACCCATCAGCGTGATCACATTATCTCTCATTTTTGGGAATGGAAAGCGATCGATCCAACGAGGATGCACGACTGTCAGTTGTAGCTCGGTGGGACGTAGTGACTCGGGTATTTCGGGGCCAACGGCACAGGACTTGCTCGAACAAGAGACAGAGCAAGAGATGCCCATCTTCCGAGTTTGCAGAGTCAGCGCATATGGTTTCGGTAGACGCGAAGGAGACAAAGGAGGCTGGCTAGGCTCTCAAGCCCTTTTAACCCCAGTAAAACGCACAGCTGCACTGCCTAAGCTGAGACGTACCATTGCGCCGTTCCGATAAAGTGCTCCATAGATGGAACTGGAAATCGTGGCGATGATGCCTGAATTTCCCTTGTTCGTCGCTACCTGGATCTGTTGCCCCGTGGGCGGTCGAGGTACTATCGCAACAAGGCGACAAGACTCATCTGTCACGGTACCCTCGCTGCAGACACTGCCGACCGTCGTGATGCTGTTCGGTGACTTGTCTGAGGCGCTCTCGCATCCGTGTTCTTCGCTGCTGAGTGCCTCAGCTGGCTTTCTGGCTTCTGCCAGGCGCTTCCCTTGTCGAGGGTGTCAGCAAAGAATCGCTGCGCCGGTCAGTCTTTGTTGACAAGGGTGGTGACGAACTTCGGGCTCGTTGTGCTAGTCTGTCCTGAATCTGTTTTCTCTTCCTCGGGTCCTGCACCCCGAACCAGTTGTCATCCAGGGCTCTTGCTCGCCCCATACTGCTCAGCCAATCTTGATGGCAAGGTGGACCAATGGCTGATTTTCAGGAATGTCTGTCAAGTGTTGTGAAGGCCAGGAGACTTTGATAGGGTTGTGGCTGCCTGGGCGAGCAGCGACCAGGAGGCCGACGGAACAATATGAAAACAGATGGTGTCCCTAAAGGCCTCTCTACCTAAGGGCTTTGCTTCAGCTCGTCGATACCCAGCCGCAGTTTCAGTGGCTTATTGGAGTCGCCTCCATTCAAGTGGACCATGGCACACGAGCCTTTAGTGCGATGTTCTGTCAGTCAGAACAGCATGCCAATACTATGTGCTCTGTAGATGGGAGAAATTGGGTCAGGTATCTCGTGACTAAGCTGGCCTAGCAGTGTGGGTAAATGGGAAACTTTGCCATGGAGTTGGGGTAAGTCAAGGTCGGTTGAGCGGGTATTGCGCCCCTCGGAATCCGTCCTGTAGCTGGAAGTTACCTAAATTCTGACTTTCTGACAATGCGGAGTACAGTCTCTGTGCCATTGCCACGGGTCTCAAACCATTTCGAACAACATGAAGTCTGAGATGTTCTGGATACCATGCGGCACAATGAACTTGCGGCCTGAGTTAGGATGAATGAAGCACGGGCGAAGCGGCTAGACATCGAGGAGCATGTACTGAAAATTTGTGCAGTTGCTTTCCTGACGGGAAACGGGGAGGCACTGTCGTGGTTCTGGCAGCCGCCATGATATAAGGAAACAGGCAACCTGGGGGACGCGCCCATTTATGACGAGGCTGATACGTACGGCTCGGCGGCGCATACAGTAGCCGAGCTGATCATTTTCATGCTTGAAGAGCAGAGGCACTGCAAGCAGCAATGGGGCAAGTAGGTACTCGTACTGTGTGCACAGTAACTCGTTGAATAGCCGTCGCGTTGACAGATAGCCGGTGGGAAGCAGCTTTGGTCTTCGCGAGCCACGTGTTTGCGGCAGAGAATTTCGGATCCGAAGATCCTGGTTGTGCCAAGAAGACCATGGGCGTCCTACACGTCCCGCAGGAAACGCATCTGGAAAGGCTCAGCTAAGCCTGCAGTTGCGGCGAGCAAGTTCAAGGAAATTCTCTGGTACCGAGCACAGGGCATAGTACTGCAACGGCTTGCTTCAAGGATGATGGGGCCAAGGTAATCATCAATTCACTCGCGACAATTTACTCTGTCGCAGCCGAACGTGACGGTAAATGTTGTGCGCCACACGTGACCGCGCCAAGACTGGTAGTCGGAGCTGCCACTGACAAGGTTGAGCTGGGAGACGAACTCTGAGTTAGCCATGTCCTCAAGAGTTCTCCGTACTCCGTAAAGCATAGTCGGTTCGATGCAAAGCAAAATTTCCATGTCTCTTCACGACGGGAAGTCCCCTCAGACCGGACGCCGCGCTTCGTATTTACCTTCTCTTGTTCTTGGGTTATTGCGTGGTTCATCATGCCGTTGCCACCCCCAGTCGCGAGCTTCCCACATCCCCAGATATTGTGGCATCCAAAAGGTTGCGCTGGCTGCCACTTCATAGGCTCGAACGGGGATTTACGGAGTCTCCATGTCTTGGTGCTCGCCAGGGGGGGAGGATATGCCCCGAAACCCCAAATATCCCGAAGCAACTCCGCACATTTAATTTTCTCTTCGAAACTCTAGAAAGGCAATTCCATCTGTGTCGACGGCTCTTCCGCCTTTATCTTCGGCCTCATTCGTCAGCTTACCCGCTAGGCATGTTAGTTGGGATACAGCTTCTCGGTCAGCCCATCTGACGTGGAGCGCTGCGCCTTATCCTGCCATGGCGACGAGGCGCATCAGGCCTGGACTTATTGGCTCGAGCAGTTTGCGTGTTCTTTCCTCTTCCGATGCTCCTTGCTTATCCGCTAAGCCCTGGCAGCGCATTCACTGTTTCCAAGCCAATGTCCGATCCGCACCCACAGGTGCTGCACATACGCAACCCTTGTTTACGGCCGGTGGGAAGCACTGCGCTTAGATTACGGTTGAGACCCTTGTCCAGCGGCAGGCATACCCACATCCCGGTCACTTGTTTTATGAATACTGAGTATAAACCCTCTTCCGTCCCTGCCTTCTATTGCTTCACGTCAGCTCTACGAATTCAGCGTGCCCGCTTCCGGTATACTCTGTGCTTCGGTAAATCATCAACGGGCTAGTGCTTGAAGTAGATATCTGAAGCAGCCGGCCACCATGTCTTTTGTCGACCTTCTGTTTCCCCAGGCGGAGCTCGAGGCTCTTGGGAACAAATGGCATGAACCGGCTCCTAAGAGGAGAAAGCTAGGATCTGGGATGCCGCAAGTGGTCAAGGAGAATCCGTCAGCACGAAGGAGGCAGAGTAATGAGACAAATTTGAGTCAAAGGCGCCATAGACTCTCTACACCCACGGCGCATCGACCTGGCATACAGTCATCATGCGCCGAGGATAGCAGAACTCGCCATACGAAGAGGTCGAACTCGGACTCGCAAGCGCTATTATTTCCAGCCACATCAACCCAGCAGGCGAAGCACACAACAACAAGCAAGTCATGTCTTCCGAGCTTCATCGAGCCTTCACTTCTGAGGAACTACCTTCGTCATCTTCATCCTAAAGACAGCAATCGGTACACGAGTCCCAGCAGTCCCAACTCGAATGTCCCTTCTACCGAGGATGCGGTCCCTTCTCCAGGCTCTCTGGTACTAGATTCAGCTCCATCTCCTGCCTCGACAGATAATTGCCCAACTCCGGGCGCTGTTTGTGACCAATTCCGTTCTGGACCATTCGGCCACTTGTTCAATGGTATGCGCCTCACCGACAACGAACGAGACCTGATGGAGGACCTACTGAGCGAGTCTCCTCCTACAATGCAAGAGGAAATGCCTACTCACAAGCGCAGACAGGAGGAGGGCAAAGTCCAAGTGGCATCGGAGGACTACTCTTCTATTGAGGAGTCGCTGCTACAAACGATGCTCCCTCAAAATCCACCTAAGGGGACTCAGGCCCTTGGTAACGAATCAACCAGCTCTGTCAAAACACCAAGGGAGTACGATGTGCATTCATCAGGATTGAGCCTGGCGACCGACGAAGCACAGGATGAGAGTGATGTTACCAGCCACAGGGGGATTGTCATCTACGATTATGGTGCACTCAGTGTTGACGACTTTTTCGATCTTGACGAAGCGTCTACCTGAGCTACGAATGGTGTGCGCACATGGCTTTACGCTGTCGTCGTGGTTTGGGTTTTGGTTGAGTCCAGATGCTGTCCTATACCGAGGGAGGATGAAAAAGGGCATCAGAGCTAGATTGCTAGGCGAAAATGATAACAATGACCCAGCAAGCATGACGACAACTCCCGTGTCTTTCACATGCCTTCTGCCCCAATTTACATCTCGAATTGTCGCACCTGGCACATTCCTTTCCAGCTCTCGCTCTAAATCCTGATTCCCTCCCTACCGGCTATGAGTATCACGTCTTCAAGGGTTGAGTTGTTTTGATGGCCAAGTCATGCTACTACCATTGCGTGGTGCTCATCATCTGCTCTGATGCTGCTTGCTGATCATCTTTCTGCGTGAGCACTACTAGTGCATCATCCGGGCCTTCGGCCGCTGTACGCTGACAGTGTTGGAAAGTGGACTAACTACCACTTTGGTTCGATCTGACGTGAAGTCCTATTCGGCCGCACCGCAGATCTCAGCTGAAGGGACATCCCAACAATTTCCACGTTGACAGTCTTGCAACTCCGTCTCTTCTCAGCGGACTCTGAACTGGACCTGGTGCCCGCCGGCACATCGACTCCGCCGGAACGTGGCAGGGTTGCGGCTAGTGGAAGATGCCCGGAAATGATACCTACACGCTACTACAGTGCCCGAGCCACACAGGTCGCTTTCGTTCACACCACGAAATCATCTAGTTGACTCGGCGCACGAAAGGCTCGTATCCAGCAAATCTTCGCTCATCCACGATTTCATGGCAAGAAAACTCCTCAAACTACAGACGTATAACCTTGTCTAGCCTGACTCTGGCCTCGTGGTGGACTGTACCTACAACCATATCGAGGAAAGACGAATTTAACGTTAGTCGAAAACTTCATCAACCTTCCACCGGAAGCAACCACTTGACCACTTCCCGCACGATCTGTTCCCGATCAAGCACGAGACATGGGTTGGGTTACGTGATCTGAGAACACATAGCCGCGGCAATATCTCCCTCCAATAAGTACGCAATGCGATCTCACCTTCCATCCAGCCTCCCTTGCAGCCCACAGGTCATCAGACGCGCGTTCGGATCCGACTCAGCATATTTCTCTCCCAGTAGTTTAACGTTGGTGCATTCAGCTTGCCGAGGCTGCGTGCTACAGACGCCGCCACCCTTGAACCTTACGACACAAGGGGGCCGGCTACTTCCTACAGTATTTCTCGGCGCAAATCTCATTGGATTGCCGCGAGGCCGGTGGCCTGTCCAAGCCTGGCGAGCCTGACCCTGTTCAAATTCGGTTCCCGCCCGCCGTGGCTGCCGCTGGCCGAATCGGACTGTCTCGCTCGCCGCTGCGGTGCCCGCTTCTGTGGAACTGTGTGCTTCGTGTTCCTTCCTGATGCTGGTACTCCGTACGAGTGTCGTTTGGGCCGTCCTATTCTGCCTTGCTGACTGTCTATGCACAGGTCATGCCTATTATCCAACACTGACGGAACCACTCATCTGGCCTGTCTTTACGAGTAGACGACGCGGGCGAGCGCAATATGTTCGACATCAACTCGTGCAACCGGTCAACGCGAAGGACTAAGCAATCAGCCGCGCGTGAAGATGTCGGAACGCGACTATTCCCGCTCCAAGTTCCCCTCTCAGAGGTGAAGATGCTACACACAGTAAGTAGGTGGTAGTTCGAGAAGTGATACCGTACCGTTGACGCAGGGCCCATTGGATGCGTTTGTACACAGTCAACCTTCCGTCGATAATGACTCAACCCCGCAAGCCTTCGTCTTTCGTCGTTTAGACCCACGGTATCCCAGTATGCCCAGCCAGTCTACCGTGTACGGGTATGCATGCAGGACCGATTCTAGGTCGAGGTCGAGATGTTTACATAGTCACCCGCCCCGACAAGGGAACAACGCTGCGCGACGGCAAGTCCCTTCAGCCCCAACGCATGAGCTACCTACGTACTGCTAAGTAGACCGTGCAGACTCCATGCATTTGCACGAGTCACTCGCTCTGCGTGCATTGAAGTCTATTTTTTTTGTTTTTTTAGACCCGGCGCAGCCTGGCTATCCCGTGCTTCGTCAACTTCCCCAGGCCGGCTGAATCGCAGAGCACGTACACGGAAATGTTTGCGAATCCGGTTTTCACGGTACGTACTCGTACCTCCCACCTACGAGGACTGTAGCATGCATGACACTGTCTGGCCTGAGTATTGCCTCTTGCTTGGTTGTCCCAGAGCACGTGCGACCGGGACCGTGCACACCGAGGTTCACATATGACATTGCTCAATCGGCTCCTGGCTGGCCGGTAGCGACCGTCGGTCTTGACAAGTCATGGGAAATTTCAAACTGCAGTTGCAATTATAGGGTTCGCTTCTCGACACAGTCCGTGTGCCTGCCACAGAGAGTCACGAGCGGTTGCGATCACTTCTGCTTCAGTACAGCGTACTGGGGATTGCGGTACAGGTCATAGCAGATGACCAGTCAACTGGCGGTTCCTATTAGAGGTTGAGAATATGCAGCTCAGTCTGCATCTCCCCTGCTAGGGCCTGAGGCTGGACCGGTACTAGGGTACTGAAGAAATGTTCACTGACCAGAAGGAAGCGTGCGTTTGGTTGCCTAGGTTGTCCTTGAAGCGTGATCCTCTCGCCAGCAGCCTTCACCCGCTTTTAACATTACAACACAGCTCAACACATTTAGGCGCTTCCTTGATCCTTTCAATCAGGAAAACGTCCCAGATAGACACGCTGATCCTTCTGATCAACTCCCAGCGGTCAACGCCAGGCAAGCGTCCACCGCAAGCCCTACTCGACCTTCCTTCTGCCGCACCACGTCATCGATGACCTCCTTGTCCAAGTTCGGAAACATCCCACATAGAGTGTCGACCACAGTCCTGTGTTCGACTCTGGAGATGCGTCGTGCTTCAGCCGCTTCAGCACTCGCCTGACGCGCCGCGGATTCTTGCGCATCGTAAGAGGGTACGGCACCGGCCTGAGGTTGAGAAGGTGGCGGTTGGAATACACTTGGACTCAATCGGGGAGGAGGCCGAGGGGCTGGGTTCGGGCTCGGCCGGCGCTCCTGAGACGACGTATCCTGATCGGAGAATATCCGTCCGATCGTGGAAAGCGGCCTTTGGATTGTCCTCAACAAGCCCGCAACACTGTCATCCGAGCCGTCGCCGGAGCTGGTGTTTTGCCTGTTCGAATCCCTGCGGATGGGGCTCCGCGACGTCGACGTCACGTCCATAGAGTTCCGGGGTGTGAGTTCCGGCTCTGCGAGTGACGATTTCTCTGCAAACCCGGCGATTGGGCTGAGTGCCTCGTTTTGACGGTTTTGCTCGGCGATTTCTGCCACCGCGTTCTCGACGTTACGCTCGAATTCCTCATCACTGACAGTGAGAGTTGTGCGATCCAGACCTTCAATGAACTGGATTGCGCCAGACAGTGAAGAGAGATAGTACCCGGCCTCGCCGACGAGCTTCTCCTGATTTCGGAAGCGCAGAATATACTGCACGTTGGAGACCATATTCTCTGGGTTGGCCTGCAGAACCACGTAGATCAAAAGGGGCACGAATGAATCTGCTGAGGTGTCCGAGCTCTTTGAATTCTTGAGCAGGCCGAATATGACCTTGCAGCAGTTGAGAACGCAAATGACCTTGTCCCTGGGCGCTCGATAGCCCTTGATCTTGAGAAGCTCCTGTTGTGCAAGCTTGAGGAACCTCTCGCCGTTGGGGCCCACCGGAGCGATGTCGAGGTGCTCTTCTCGGACCCAGCTGTAAATCCTTATCTTCTGCGCCAGAATGTCGTCACGCTCCACGTCTTCCTGATGCTGGCCACGTCGTCCTGGCACCGAGGCCTTTTCCAACTCTTTCCGCCTGCCTCTGGATCTTGACCGCCCAACTTGAGGTGGTGGGGGAATTGCTGGAGAAAAGGTCTGGGAGTACAGTCGATTCATTACAAGCTTTTCCATTCCCTCCTTGGCGTTGTCGAATTCATTATCCGACACTTCTCGCCAAACATCACAGAGAGCCATCTTATTTGTGATAAATGCCAGAAAGTCGCCTATAATCTTGACCTGTTCGTGAACCATCCATTGCTTCTTTCCAAACTCTGTTAGAAACGAGCGAAGGAATTTGGCGACCGGATCAGCCGATTTGTGCCGTAGCTGCTCGAGAAATCGGTGAAAGTCAAACGGTAATTCAGGTTCGGGTTCTGGCGGCGGTGGCTGCGCCGGAAGAGAAGTTGTCGAGGCGTGCCCAGGGCCCTTCAACGGTGGGCTCCTCAGTTGACTTGACTCATGGTTCAAAGCATCTTGAGGCGGCGAAGGCAGAGGCTTTTCTGAGTGATGAGAGATGACTGGAGATGTTACGGTGTCGAGGTCCCGAGATCGGAGGGGTTCCAAGCTTGATCTCCTTACTGGAAACCCACTGGCTGAGCCAAGGATAGGGCCTGACATTTCGTGTATGGGAGACATAATGGATTCCTTCGAAGGAGCTGCTGTCTCATCATCGAATTGGTCCATGATACTCTGTATTTCTGATGTAGAGTCTGCATCTGGGTCGTTGCCCGACTTCTGATTAGGCAGCTCTGCATTGTTATCCTCTGTGTCCTGGGCATAGGCTGGGTCTTTCTCATTATACTCGTCTTCTGGTAACCGTACAGACGCATGTCTTGATATAGCTGGAGTCTTCGGAGTAGGGTCGAGGTATGGCTTCTCGCTAGCAGCTGGGGGTTCGGGAGGTGGAGGAGTGGAGGGAAGGACTTTTGGTGACGGCACATGGTTGTTGTCAGTCTTGGGATCGTTGGTATCAAGTCTGTGTATCTTCTCTGCGGCGTCCAACCCTGGTTCAGTGGCTCTTTCCGGAATCACATCTCCAGGAGTGTCGGCGTCGCGAGCGAGCACCCCTGTAGCTGGGTCTGGGTCTAAATCTATGAGATTTGGCTCAGACGTTTCCGTCGGTACGGCTTTCTGCTCGGTGTCCATAGCTGCATGGCTGTCGTTCGGTGACATTTGGCAGATGAATGTAGCGTATCTTTGACATTAGCCGGTGATCAGCAGCCACACACCATGCTTCGTGAATGGAGGTGGGTTCAGCCTGGTGCAACCACCAATTCAGTGGTAGTACATGCTGAATGACGACAATCCCGAGCAGACGTCACGCGACGATATGGTCCTCGGGCTCGTAGGGTATCGCTGAGATGAGGAGACTCGAGTCTGCAATAGTTTCTGATGCTGATGTGCCGCGACAGAGTCTCCTTTTCGACGAAGCTGGAACGCTTCAATCCCTTCTTTGTAACGATGACTTGTCGCAGCCCTGCATAACTGTCGGAGATATTGCAAGGCCGCCAATGTCGGCATCGTGCAGCCGCACATGTGGGTCAGGATTTGCGACTTCTTATTCGTCGAGGATTTAGCATTATCTCGTTCGAAGTTCGTCTCTCACTTCCATTTCATTTCTGCTTCATGTCTATCTCATGTCCACCTCACGCAATCGCATCGAGGTACATTCGTCCGCAGGAAGTCGCCGCGACGATTCGACACTTTAGACAGCCAGTTCAGCTTCATGTGCGGCATTTTCTTTTCTCTAGCGAGAGCACGTGAGCTTGGCCCGGACGACCTTGTCAAGGACGAGTTGATTGCAAGAGGGCCGGACAGCTACAAACAGTTACACATCGCAGTCCCTGCCGCATCCAGCGACATAGATCTGACATTCGTCTCTTCTGTTCTAGCCCTGCGAGGGGATTATGTCCAACAGCAGCCGCTGCAGGAACCCTCTTCTGGATCTGTCCTTTGCTGGAATGGAGAGGCCTGGAAAGTAGAGAGGTCTGCGGTTCACGGGAACGACTCGGCACGCATATTCGATCTCCTTGTCCATGCCTCACACTCGGGTGGCTCCCAAAATCGTCGGCATTGTATAGTCCAGGTTTTGTCAGCCATAGCGGGACCCTTCGCATTCGTCTTCTTCGATGCGCCAAATTCTACCGTTTATTACGGCAGAGATCAACTGGGACGGCGCTCACTACTTGTTGCCCGCGGCAAGGAGGACTCGCTGACGTTGTGTAGTGCTTTCACAAGTCCATTGGCCGCAGGAGACACCGAGGTCTCCACGTCGGCCCTCCATTTTGTTTCGCTGGAAGATGGGCACATCGTGCGCGGCGAGCTGCCGTGGCTTAGCGGGCGCGCCATCTTCAATCAGACGCAACCGCCGTATGACATTGAACCGATTCCGTCTTCTACTAGTGTTATCAATGTTTTGCAGCATTTAAAGAGTGCTGTGGCAACCAGGGTTAGGAACATTCCAGTTCACTCTCCCAGACAACTGGGATCCGATGCTGCAAAAGTTGCAGTCCTTTTCTCTGGAGGACTAGATTGCACATTGCTTGCTCGTCTCATGCATGAAGTGCTACCCAAGGAAGAAGCAATAGATCTGTTGAATGTGGCATTCGAGAATCCACGTTCCATCGCTGCCATGGCTAACGCTATAGAATCCGCCTACGAGGTGTGCCCGGATCGAGTGACAGGCCGCAGCAGTTTTGCTGAGCTTTGTCAGGTATGCCCGGGTCGACAGTGGAGGTTCGTCGCAATCGATATTCCCTACACCGAATCACAAGCCCACACAGCTACCATACAACGACTCATGTACCCGCACAATACAGAAATGGATCTTTCCATAGCCATGGCACTCTACTTTGCTGCCCGCGGCACTGGAAGCTTGTCCGAACCCCCACAGCTCCCGGCTGCGGAGGCCAAGCTTGCCACCTCCTCTGCTAGAGTCCTGCTCTCTGGACTGGGCGCAGATGAGCTATATGGTGGATATTCCCGACATGCTGCGGCATTCTCCCGAGGAGGGTTCACTGGCCTCGGAGACGAACTTGAGCTCGACTTTAACCGGATCGGCACGCGTAATCTGGGTCGCGATGACCGTGTTATGAGCCACTGGGGAAAAGAGGTGCGTTATCCTTACCTCGACGAAGATCTCGTAAAGTTTTCTTTAGCCCTTCCAGTATGGGAAAAATGCGGATTTAGAGTTGGAAAGAAGATTCCAAGACATTATGAACAAACGGGTCGAGTGACCCAGCCCGAAGACCTTGAGCCTGCAAAAATGCTGTTAAGGCTGGCAGCGTGGGAATTAGGGATGCGCACTGTGGCCTCAGAGAGGAAGAGAGCAATTCAGTTTGGCGCCAAAACTGCGAAGATGGACGTCGGTAAAGGGAGGGTGAAGGGGACAGCTGTCTTGGGGGCTGCAAGATGACACGGTCTTCGGTCTCATCCCACAGCGTCGGAGGGAAGGAGTGCTAAACGATCACCTCGGGGGCGAAGCGCGCAAATCGGCGGCGGTGATGACAAAACACAGATACTTCTGAGGCTTCTAAGCTTTGAGCTGGATGCAAGCGTTTCAAGAACGTGTTGCAACCGCCAAGCTGGCTCATGAAGGTGAAAAGGCAAGTCTGAGCCGCAGATTCTCGATGTCTCGAGCCACGGCGATCGATGACAACAGCCGCTAATGATGTTACGGGATTTGCATCGAGTCATGCGCTGCAACAACCGGCCTTGCATGTATTCCAATGCCACGCGAGGTATGTACTCGTGGAAGCAGTCCAGCCTAGCTCCTCCTTTCCGCATAGAGAACCTTCCGGACCTGATGTGCCATTTGAGGACCTGGATGCGCCGGAGAAGAGCGATCCTCCCCTCTCCATTTTCATCCCCACCCAGGGGACTAAATCTGGTCTCACAAATTTTTAGTTGCAGGAGCTGTCCGGTCAAAGGGCGCGATGACGATGCTGAGGTCGGAGGATAGAAATGGCTTCACTGTGATTCAGTCCAGATACCTTGACACAGAAATCAGCAACGCCTGCATCAATGGACGCTGCTTCGCTGCCTTCCGTCCAAGAGGTCCACTCAAATGACCTAGGAAGGCATGAGCTGGCATATTTTACCGAGACCAGCAAGGAGGAATCAGGGTCTACAGTACCTGCATTTTCAAACCCACAACCAGACGTCGACGACAGCAACAAGCACATCGACACTATCAACGTCGAAGACCCCGAAACGAATTCGCTTCCCAACGACGAGTTCCCCGAGGGCGGCCTTCAGGCATGGCTAGTCCTAACAGGTGCATGCCTCGCTCTATTTGCTTCGTTTGGCTTTATGGTCTCCATTGGTACTGTCCAGGAATACCTTCAAACCCACCAACTCTCAGCCTATACATCCCGCGACATTGGATGGATACCTTCCGTCTTCGTTTACCTCGCCCTCGGACTGGGCATATGGGTCGGGCCGCTCTTTGACCGTTATGGACCACGCTGGATTGCCCTGCTTGGTAGCATAAGTTACATCGTCATGGTATTCCTCCTTGCAGAGTGCCAGAAATACTGGCAATTCCTGTTGTGTCTGGGCTTTCTGGGAGGAATTGGAGGTGCAACCCTGACAACGACAAGTTTGGCAGTGGTCTCCCACTGGTTCAAGCGGCGACGAGGGCTTGCTCACGGCATCGCGATGGTTGGGTCATCGTTTGGCGGTTTCACAATCCCGTTGATCCTACGCGACACGCTGCCCAAGTACGGCTATGCGTGGTCGATGCGCATTCTAGGCTTTCTATTCTTCGGCTGCTTAGCCATCGCGAACGTATTGATGAAACCACGTCTTCCACCCTCTCCCGATGCACGGAAGCAGGCCATCATCAGTCTCAGTTTGTTTGGGGACCTGAAGTTCACGTTCCTCACCATCAGCGTCTTTGCATTTGAGATCGTCCTCTTTGGTGCGCTGGGGATCCTCCCGACATACGCAAACTACGGCACTGGGTTTCCTCATGATACCGGCTTTTACATCATCTCTGTGCTGAACGCAAGCAGCTGCTTCGGACGAATTATTCCGGGATATATATCCGACTCGATCGGTCGGTTCAATACGTTGCTGGCCATGATCCTCTTTACACTTCTGCTGATGCTGATTATCTGGCTTCCATTCGGTCATAATTCCCTCGCCGCACTATACGTTTTCTGCACGTTGTTTGGATTCGGCACCGGCAGCTGGATGGCGCTAACACCGGCATGTATCGGTCAGCTCTGTGAAGCAGACCAGTTTGGGCGATTCTATGGCACTTGCTATTTTATCGGGAGTTTGGCTGCATTGGTGTGTATCCCCATCAGTGGCCAATTGGTGGAGGCGGCGGGTGCGAGGGTAATGGTGGGCTTTATGTGTGCTGTCACCGCCTTGGGCATGGGAACCTTCGTGCTCAGTCGATGGGCTTGCCTGGGCTGGCGGTGGAGGTGGAGGGTGAAGGTGTAAATGGGTGCCGGAAAAAGCAGGCAGAGTGGGAGTTGTTCTCGTCCCTATCATTTGCTGGTGGACAGGCATCTTCAGGAGACCGTATTCATTCGTCTGTCCGATATCTGTACATTCCTCAACGTGCTCTATATACAGGTGCCCGCATATTTTCACCGTGCTGAGAGCTTGCGTATTAGATTGACCCGTCCGGTACCTCCAGTGATGGTCCCTGGATGAGTTGTAGATAGGCAGACTTTTTTGCCGTACTGTTTCTGCCCCATACCGCCTCGTTGTGACCTTCATGGTCTGATCCGTCTACCCTGTCCATGAGAACATATGGTAGAACCGTGATCTTCTGGTATTATCGTCCCAACGGCCTCGAAGACTTCATTCCGATCCGCTCTTACCAAGCTCGATTGGCTGCAAGGATGTTTCCATGTTTGCTTGCGGCCGAGTTGGCGTACGGTAGCGCTTGTTCCCCCTAGCAATCGTCACAGCGGGATAGATGAGAAGCAAGCCTCCGAACAGACTGGCAGCGCCCCCGAACGCTTGGCCGTGTGTGTAGTTGTCGGTTGTGGTGTCGACGAGGGCACCAGCAATCGGCGTACCTATCAAGCCCGCGAAAGCAGCGCCTGACCAAGCCATACCGGTCCTTGCGCCGACGACGCTCGGTGTCGGGGACATGAGAGGGACGACTGCCGCCGGGATGGCAACAGTGATGCCTGCCATGAACCCCACGAGAACGGCCCATACCGTGATGCCAGCAATGTCGTGGATAGCTATCCATCCTAGGATCAGAACGCCCAGACAGACACTCCCGGCTGAGAGGACGAGGGCGGGGCCAACTCTGTGCGCGACCAGGGCAGGAAGGATCCGACCGGCGAAGCTGCCTGCATTGAGGATAGCCAAAAGGTAGAAGGCGTAGGAGACGCTCGTCTTGATCGAAAACTGGGCATAGGGTGTGACGAAAATCAGAGGCACCCAGTAGCCGAGGAAAACGAAGAACAAGCCTCCAAACAACACCACGAATGGTGGCTCCCTAATGGCAGAAGGATCAAACAACGGTCCTTTGGGACGTCGATGCGTCGGATCGGGTCGAAGGAGGAAGTAGGTGGCTACTATCATGGCGAGGATTATGAACCCAAAGATACGGTTGACCCAGCCGAAGCCTATCTCGGGCTGCAGTTGGCGGAACATGATGGGCAGCACGATCCCGCCTATGGCTGCTCCAGATGAAGATCCGCCGATCGCAAGAGGACGTTGTTTGGCAGTGAATGTCTGGCTGATGACTGCGATCGACGGGATATAAATCATGCCGCTGCCTGGAACGCGGGTCAGTACAAGTTGCTGGTCGGCATCAGACAATGGAAGCTCACCGAGGCCAACACACACACCCTGCGCGAGGATGACCTGATAGTACTCCTTCGCAAGGCTCAGCATCATAAAGCCAAAGACAACCATGGTGCCTCCCACCACCAACAAGGTTCGGATATAACCGCGGTCATATAGAGCACCTGAGACGATCCCCGTGAAGCCCAGCAAACAGACTTGGACAGTGCCAATCCATGATATGACAGAGGGAGTATGGTCCGCAAGCAGGTCCTGCTCATAGAAGGCCTGGTATGCACTGAAGGAAGATGCCACGCCCCATGTGATGAAGAAGACGAAGAAGGTTCCTAGAATCCTGCAGGCTTGCGTAAAGTTTCGTGGGGAAGTTCGACTACTGGAGACGGCGCCATCTTTCGCGAAGCCTGCCAGCTGCTCCCTGTCGGCGGCGCTTAGGGCACATACTTGTTCATCTTCCCTAGTTGTCATGACAATATGGCGAGACCGGACGAAACGTGCTGAGTTGTCTCTTCAGGCAACTGAAGAAGACAGATGAAGAGCCAGGGCACGCACTCAGCACTCCTGGGACTTTACGCTTCCCGTAAGGCGGAGGCGTCATCGGCATATAGCCACGGCTGCCATGTGGACTGCTAAATTACTGGGGCAAACTCTTTTAATTGAAGCCAATGAAGCCTAAAGGCGGCACGACCCCCCTTGTGCCCTCTCCTGCCCCTGTGCGTCGCTTGATCCTCCGTATCTGGGGAGCCACGGAGCCTGTCTCGCCTATTCAGGTGGCCGCATGCGGCTCAAAACATGCAGAACTCGCTCAAGGCCTGTCCGGGTTTTAATTTGGCTGCCACTGCCATTCACTGAGCAGGCCGTCACTACGACTTCAGCCTAGCTATCGTCACGACGTGAAGTTTTCCGTTGTGCGGTGTGAATCCAGCGCCGCTCCGCCACTGTTCTCCTATTCAGTCCGACGACTTGTGCTTTCACCAGACTCGTCGCCGTTTCAAGTACTCCAATAAGCCTTTGAAGTTTCCAACTGCCACCACTTGACTTTTCGTTCTACAGCCCCAACCTTCTCATCCACACAGAGCATCAAGATGGCCGACACAGAAGATGTCAGAGATGAGCGCAAAGACAGCCACGACGATGGTGGTGAGGAAGAAGTAAGGACACCGCTCGCGGCGTTGCAGAGTCGCAGCCTCGTCACCACGATATCTGCGCTGACTATATCTACAGGAAGAGATTGCAGCAATGAAGAGGCGCGTTGCCGAGATGGAGTCTGAAGCCGCCAAGCTGCGCGAGATGCAAAGTCACCTTGAACAGTCGTCGGAGAGCGTGCCTAGAGAGGACCGCGAAGACGTGGACGCGCGCAGCATCTTTGTCGGTAATGTGGACTACCAGGCGACACCGGAAGAGATCCAAGCACACTTCGCAACTGGGCCCGGGACCATCAACCGCGTCACGATCCTCCTTGACAAGTTTACTGGTCATCCCAAAGGGTGGGTTTAAAAACATCCAAGCACTTCCACACGAGGCTTGTTTTAAGAGCTGGACACCTTTCAAGAAAATCATTTCATGCTGCCTGGCAAGAGATGGATTGCTAATGGAACCCCGTCGCGCAGGTATGCATATGTGGAATTTTCAGAACCAGGGCTGGTGGCTCAGGCGTTGGTGCTCAACGAAAGTACCTTCCGTGGTCGTGCATTAAAGGTGTGTGACAAGGCGCGAATGTTGGAGAGATGATGCTGACGAGGACCGCGCAGGTCGTGCCTAAACGCACCAACCTTCCTGGCATGACGCGAGGTCGAGGGAGAGGCGGCCCTATGCGCGGTGGTCGAGGGGGGTTTGGCGGACGAGGAGGTTTCGGCGGCGGCTATGGTGGTGGCTACGGCGCACCGAGGGGCACTCCGCGGGGTGGGTTTAGAGGACGCGGCCGTGGGTATGCACCGTACTGAGCGGTATCAGAGCTTGCGTCAGTCTCGAGAACGTCGTTTCCAGGGTGGCACGCGACACAATTAGGCGCTGGGAGGGCTGCGATCAATTTGGAGAAGTCCCCGACTGCACTTGCGCTGGGCATCAGGGCACAATGAAAGGGAGCTCCCATCCGACAGGAAAGAATTCCACGGGTGGTGCAGGTTTAGTGGCTCATCAATCAGTCATCTTGGAATCAAACGCGTCAATATTGGAAGGGCCAAGGCGCCGGAACTGTAAGAGGTATGAAATCTAAAGGACCAGAACCCAGACGAAGCCTGCTAGCAGCCTAAAACCACCGCTGGGACGAGATCCACAGTGCCATAAGAGTTGGTCTTGATGAGCGGCATGTTTCCTCGCCTTATTGAAAAGTACGGGGCATCACGGTATGAATGAATGCTCGTGTTGATGAATTGACTTGACTATGGCCTCGTTGCCTTACGGGCCTCTATGACATAAGCGTCACGCTTCCTGCTCCATCAGCGCTGGCCTGAGAGACACACTTTCTACCTCCCAGTCAGAAGGAAGGACAGTTCGATTTTGCCAGCAACGGTGGTTATCCTTACGCGAACGGTGGCACTGTTGACCGCAATCGTTCTTATTATGCAAGCATGACCTGAGCGACGAGGTTGCCTTTGCGTTTGGCCTGTCTTCATATGTACCGTACCTTCCGCTCTCTTAGCGCGACTGCGCCACCATTGAGACTCCCAAAGTTCAAACGGCCTCCAAAGACTGAGTAATTCATTGCCAAATACGATTGCGCGCCTACAACAACTTCGCTGTCCACGGTCCATCACTTTCTCCACCCTAGGATATTGCTGTTGCGAAGCGGACTCTGCAGAGTGTTAACTACGAGCACGACTCTGCTGTGAACCGAGTTACCCCGCCGATTGCAGCTGTCCGCAGGCTACACTCCTGGACCACGGTCCTGCGGTCAAACATCCAGGATGCCTGAAGCAAACCTGCCTGCGTACGTGGCTCGAATCCCATCAAGCGTGAACTCAGGCTGACTTCAAGGAATTAGAGAGCCTAATCTGCGAGTGACAAGTTCGTCGAGTTCTTTTCTCTGCGGTCTATCCGGCGCTCGAAACTGACTTGGCACAGTTATTGCGGCTGACGGCCTGTACAAAAGAGATGTCTTCCGTGGGCACAACACTTGGAAGCTACGAGGACTTATATGCTAAGTAGATACAGGCTTTCCCGACCCATTCGCTGTTGCGACCATCTCCGGGGAACAAACGAGGACAACCTCCGTCATCAGAAAGACCTTGAATCCTTATTGGAATGAAGCGTTTGATATGTCCGTCACCCAAGCCGGAGAGGATTGGAGCATAACGTTGACTGTCCACTAGGAGAGTGACAGAAGACAGCATTTTGGCAATCCAGATCTTCGACCAGAAGAAGTTCAAGAAGAAGGACCAAGGCTTCCTTGGTGTCATCAATATCCGCATCGGCGATGTCATCGACCTGGACATGGGCGCAGACGGTATTTCATAAGCATTGCAAAACTGGAACACAAACTGATCTTTATCTAGAAATGCTTACCAAGGATCTTAAGAAGAGCACCGATAACCTTGTCGTCCACGGAAAATTGATCGTCAATCTCTCTACGAACCTCTCAACACCTCCGCCTCAACAGAATCGACCCGCTCCGAGCACCGCGCCAAGTGTAAATGGGGCCTCGAGTCTCCATGCCGGCAGCAGTACCAATGTTAATCAAGCACTCCCCGTCCGAGCCAGAAGTCCCGCATCCCGGACGGCGACGTCAGGCTCTGGAGAGGCAAGGTCTTCGACCGCGGCGGTTAATCCACCCAATGCGCCATCACAACCGAACGGCACCACCAGTGGTGGGAGATCTGGCGGGTTCAGCTCCTTCGAGGACAGTCAGGGACGGCTACCTGCGGGCTGGGAACGTAGAGAAGACAACCTTGGCAGGACTTACTACGTCGATCACAACACGAGGACCACGACATGGACGAGGCCTTCAAATCATATGAGCGAGTTGGAGGCACGCAACCGCGCCGAAGCGAATATGCAAATGGAGCGGACTCGCCACCAGAACCGCATGCTTCCCGAGGATCGAACGGGCGCCAACTCGCCCAACTTGCAGGATTCTCGAGGATCGCCCCAGCCACCGAACGCAGTCTCAATGATGGCTACAGGAGCAACGACTGCCGGAACTGGCGAACTTCCTGCTGGGTGGGAGCAGAGACATACCCCTGAAGGTCGCGCTTATTTTGTCGACCACAACACCCGCACCACGACTTGGGTGGACCCCAGAAGACAGCAGTATATTAGAATGTACGGCAACAATCCTGCCGGGAACAACACTACCATCCAACAACAGCCGGTCTCACAACTGGGACCCTTGCCCAGCGGATGGGAAATGCGACTCACCAACACTGCCCGCGTGTATTTCGTCGACCATAACACAAAGACCACCACTTGGGATGATCCACGACTGCCATCCTCACTGGATCAGGGCGTGCCGCAGTATAAGCGTGATTTCAGACGGAAATTGATCTATTTCCGCTCGCAACCAGCATTGCGGATCCTGTCTGGCCAGTGCCACATCAAAGTACGCCGTGGTGCGATCTTCGAAGACTCGTACGCCGAAATCATGCGACAGAGCGCGACCGACCTGAAGAAGCGCCTGATGATCAAGTTCGACGGGGAGGATGGTCTCGACTACGGAGGTCTTTCCCGGTGAGTATGCCTGAAGATGTGATCCTTTGTTTCTGCTAACGTCTGCCACAGTGAATTTTTCTTCTTGCTCTCACACGAAATGTTCAACCCTTTCTACTGTTTGTTCGAATACTCAGCACACGACAACTATACCCTGCAGATTAACCCCCACTCTGGCATCAATCCGGAGCATCTGAACTATTTCAAATTCATCGGACGAGTGGTCGGCCTGGCAATCTTCCATCGTCGTTTCTTGGACTCCTTCTTCATTGGCGCGTTCTACAAGATGATGCTGCGAAAGAAAGTGACGATCAACGATATGGAAGGTGTTGACGAGGAATATCATAAGAACTTGACTTGGATGCTGGACAATGATATTACCGACGTCCTTGACCAGACCTTTTCTATTGAAGATGAACAATTTGGTGAGACAAAGACGATAGATCTCAAGCCTGGCGGGCGAGACATTCCTGTCACGAATGAGAATAAGAGAGAATATGTCGAGTAAGTACCCAGTTACCCGGTAACACTGCGGATTCGGCTGACTGGCGTCCTTCAGACTTCTCACGGAATGGAAGATCCAGAAACGCGTCGAAGAACAGTTCAACGCTTTTATCACAGGCTTCAACGAACTCATCCCTGCTGATCTGGTCAATGTCTTCGACGAGCGTGAGCTCGAGCTTTTGATTGGCGGTATCGCTGATATCGATGTCGATGACTGGAAGAAGCACACCGACTACCGCGGGTACCAAGAACAAGATGAGGTCATCCAAAACTTCTGGAAAGTCATCAGGTCGTGGGACGCAGAGCAGAAATCGCGCTTGTTGCAGTTCGCTACTGGAACAAGCCGTATTCCTGTTAATGGATTCAAGGATTTGCAAGGTAGCGACGGTCCGAGAAGATTCACGATCGAGAAAGCTGGAGAGATAAATGCTCTACCCAAGAGTCATACCTGGTGCGTCTTGTGTCCCGACAGTTCGTTTTGAGATCACTCGCTAACAAGAAGGCAGCTTTAACCGTCTTGACCTTCCGCCCTACAAGACATACGAAGCGCTAAACGGCAAGCTTTCGACAGCCGTCGAGGAGACATTGGGCTTTGGTCAAGAATAGTCCGACGCTTGGAAGCCTGGGCGACCCCTTTAGCGAATTGCAGCCGATCATCACCATGGAGAGCAAGGGCTGTGGTGTGGCAGAGGATAAGAGGACGGGCTTGCCTAACCTTTAGTGAGGTCTATGGAAGCAGTGAAGCACAGTCAGTGGCGCCGCGTGACTTATGGTGTGCTGTTGAAGAGCGCATAACCTTTGTTGATATGCACCGAGTGCACGGAGATGAATTTGGGAACCTGTACAAGGATTATCTTGGGTCGGATCCTTACGCCTGTCCCGTGACGAGCGTTGTTTTGGGGTGACAATGCGTCGCTGAGGTAGCGTTGTACCTGGGTGGCAGCGTACAGAGTTGGAGCAAAGCAAGCAGGTCCAGATGATGGAGTATTGGTGTCATACAACCACTTGGGAACCATAAAATGCGCGCAATGTGAGCACCCGCCAGACAGCGCACTTCACCGTTCTGCTTGGCGGTGCTCGTGCTCATGCTCATGCTCATGCCCATTCTCAACTTCCTCAGGCCACGTCCACCCATCTGCATCATACGGGGGCGGCTCCTCGTTGGCGTCTGGTTGCACTGCATTCAGGCTTCTGGTAGATGGTATCAGCACGGCCTGTAGCATTGTGGTCGAATGCGACGACGACGACGACGATGCCAGGGTAAAGGGCTGCGCCAAGTATGGCGGGTCCCGAGTTGGTCTGTGTCTAAGTGCATATTGGATGCGGAGATCAAGGTCGTCGAGGCGGTCTCGACAACTCGATTTGGACGTATGCGCGCCCGAGTCGCTTGATCCTGTTCTTCTGCGTAGAGACACAGCCGCAGACCCAGGGCTGATCGTTTGGGTAGAGGGGTCTTCTTCTCTTGTTGTTTTTCTGCGTAGAGACCCAGACCTGGGGCTGTTCGTTTGTGTGAAGGGGCCGTCTTCTCCTGTTGTTCTTCTGCGTAGAGACCTAGGGTTACCCGTTTGTGTAGACGGATCGTTGTCAGAGTCGATGTCTTGGCCCTCAATATGTGGATTGTCGTTTCCAGAGATTGTGGCGTCCGAGCCGCCTTCTCCTGCGCTTCTGCGGAAGAACCCAGGGCGACTCGTTTGTGTGGAGGGGTCGTCTTCTCTTGTTCTTCTGCGTAGAGAGCCAAACCCAGGGCTATTCGCTTTTGTAGAGGGGTCTTCTTCTCCTGTGATTCTGCGTAGAGACACAGATCTGGGGCGGCTCGGTTGTGCAGAGGGGTCGTTATGAATGTTGATGTGGTGGCCCTTAATGTATAGGTTGTCTTTCCCAGAAAAGGTGGCGTCCGAGCCGCCTGATGCTGTTCTTCTGCGTAAATATTCAGGACTGCTCATTTGTGAGGAGTGGTCGTTGTCAGAGTCGATATGTCGGCCCTTGATGTATGGGTTACCAGAAAAGGCAGCGGCCTTGCCCCCGAGAGACAAGTGGTCTCTCTTAGGCAACGCAACATGCTTTTCCTTGCCTTTCATGGGCGTGCCTAAGTCGTATTCGAGCGATTGGCGCAGCCGCTCCTGCGAGGTCCACACGCCCAGCACCTTGCGATACTCCTCCGTGCTGGCCTCGAAGTCGTGCTCTCGTTGCATGAACTCCCGAGTCGCCTCGTAAGTCAATTTTCGTTCAAGAAGACACTCCATGATCACGGTCCTGTAGGCACACCATTGCGAGAGACGGGCTCTTGGCATTTTATGCATCATCGCCTCACGTAGCGCAAGCCGGTCTTGTGCCTTTTCGCCATTCGTCTGGGCAAATACCATGTCTGTTCCGGCACCGGCAGTTTCTGCCTTCAGCCAGACGCATCGAGGTAGCGGAAGAACCAATGCGCAACGCGGCCTCATAGCCAGCATGAATCCCCGACTGTACCGCCAGTACCCGGTCTTGGACGCGAAGACGATGTCCGGGCTCGGCGCGGACGATTGGGCCATGTAGTTCTGATAATTGATCGTGTCGAGATGACGCACCAATTGCGGGAGGTCGGCATCGGGATCGTCCCGGACGGCGTCGTCGCCGCGCATCTCACGTCGCGACATCGTCCGCTCTTTTAGCCGTTTGCGATTCCATTCCTCCACGTCCGCAGACCGGGACGCGGCGTGGCGGGCCCGCGCCTCGATGATCTTCTGCGTCCAGTGGTGGCGTGTCGTGCCGCCGAGCGGGCGGGGCAGGGCCTTGTTGCACCATAGGCAGATGCGGCGGCGGTCTTCGTCCTCCGGTGTGAGTGTGTTGGTGCAGGATTGGCCGTGGCATCGTGGTTCGCTTGCGGAAGTGGAAGTAGAGACTGCCGAGCTGTTCTGGGCGGCCTTGCACTCGAGACAGAGGATGCCGTCCCTTATGAGGGTGCAGGTGCAATAGTCGCGTGTCGAGCCTGACGGGTCGTACCATTGTTTGTGAGTCAAGGGAGAAGGCGATGAAGATGAAGGGGGACCAGAGGAATCCTCCTTCCCAGGCGGAGGTGCAAGAGCAAGTGGATACCGACTTGTTTGGCTATTGTTGCCTGACTCCCAGCATTGCTTGCAGAGACATCGCACCCGTTTCGGGAAGGTGTTCTCGTGCCCCTTGAACATCGAGTCCCGGACGATGCAGGCGTCGCAGATCGGCCGTGAGCAGTAAAGACACGGCTTTGGTGCGGGGCCTTTCGTGTGCGTCTGCGAAGAGCATTCGAAGGGGGCCCTGTCTTTGAGCCGTTGCCAGTAGACGGTGCCGTGGTGGCCGATGTATAGTTCTGGGCGTACTGAGTTGGATGGCTCTAATATGTCTGGGACGTCCTTTGGCGGTGATTTGAAGCCGTGCAGAAGAGCCCGTAGCGTCACGCTGAGTCGAGACACTGTGATTAGATCGCCTACTGGGAGATGGTGGCTCAGTGTACTGGCCACGGGCCAACGTGAGAGGAGATGCTCAATGTTGGGGGAAACAGAGGTTGTCGCTGGGGCAGCTGGAGATGCCAGTTCGTCCATTGTTGGAGAATCCAGAAGAGTGGCAGGACTCTAGGCAAGAGGAGGATGCGCTTTGTATGGTATAGACAGATACTGCCTGTATGACCCCCGTAGTGAGGATCATCTGTCGGAGCCGGTGTCACTTTCGCTTTCACTGCGGCGCAGTCGACGTGGGCATTTCAGAATAGCCAGGTGAATTATAATGCGGCGGAGGTGACATGATTTGGAGATCAATAACTATTCACGATGTGGCAGGAGAATATGATTTGCCTCCTCTGCGCTCCAAATGGATTGACATCCTGGTGGTCATCACAGATGAGGCTGAGACAAGGCTGAACTCCAGCCTTACGTGTGGGTCTACCGCATTTTTGGAGAACAAAGTTTCCAACAGCAGCTTTTGTTCTCGCCGATGTCAACTATATCGGTCATACTGCCTGAGTCGCTGGACCGTGAATACCATGAAGAGTGCTTCTTGCTAGACCTCGAATATCTACCCGAGCAATCGCTGCTCTCCCTCGTTCCTTCTGCAACTATTATCACTCCGCTTCTCGACTACCCCGTCCTGATCCGTCGCAATGTCTTTGCAAACCTACATCGACAGTGCGTAGAAGCGACTCTCTTCAGCTCCGTAACGCTTACTGACGCATGTCTGTGCAGAAAAAGTCATTGTCATTACGGTAGACGGCAGGACTCTGGTCGGAACGCTGCTCTCATGCGACCAAGTCACCAACATTGTTCTTAACGACACGGTCGAACGCATTATCCGGCCGGCAGACGACCCCGAGCCCAGCTCGCAGGTCAGTCATGGCCTATACCTTGTGAGAGGCGACAACATCACAATCGTGGGACTCGTGGATGAGGAGCTAGATAACAGCATTGATTGGGAGAAAGTCCGCGGCGATGTCATCGGGTCGACGAAACATGTGTGATTGAAAGAGTGTGAATCTAGACAACAACAACAACAACCCTATTCGCGAGTTCCCAAGCGCTTGTCACCTATTCTTCAGGTCAGAGACAGACGGCAAGGACATCTCCGACCGGAACACGATATCAACATTTCCGCCGAATCGTGAGGGACAAGCGGCAATGCCCTTATTGTGGAGGAAGTGTTGAGGAGGAATGATCACTCCTGGAAGAAGAGTATGTGATCCATCGACCACTGCATAACTGAATGTTAACTTGGTGCTGGTTGGAGATGAGCTATAACCCGCCCCTCGAAGCTTTCTTGGATTCTTCTCTCGGTCAAAGGACTTATCAGCACTCTCGCATCAAGGCGCCGGGAAGCTACAGATATTCGTTGAAATTTGCACAGAATGCGCTGTTCACGCTCTTACAGCCTTGGAGTGAGGCTTAATGGGGTGCACATTCTCGCTGTCATTTCGATGGTCAAATTTCTCGATCTGGGTTTCTTTCGTGTCTTTAATGCCTTTCCGCTGGGGATTCTCTCTCTAGCTTCACGGACTTCGCTTCTGACGACACAATCTCAGTCGGATACACTTTCTGTGACGGCACCAACTCGCTATATCAACAGGAAACTCTCCGCCGGGAAATTCAGTACGTAAAACGGAAGCCAGGATGATCATCTCCAAGGTTGTTCTTCTCGTCGTCGGGCAGATCGTATCTGTCATCCCTTCGGCCCTGATCGCGCAGTTTGTTCTCGCGCCTGATATGGAACAGGAACAGCACAGAGCTGAGGACGCAGAGCCAGACGAGGCCGAGACCTAGTCCATATCCAAGTTCATACTCTGGTGCTTGACTCGCCAAGAACATGTTACTGGCGCATCTGTTAGGCGAAAACTCTACGGGCATTCTGATTCAACTTACGATGCAATGATACCACCACAGTTACCAAATCCGACCACTGGTTCTTGTTAGCCTTGTTTGGACGGTGGATCGCAACTAATGCTCAAGGGCCCAGAGCTGGACGACTTACTCATCGCGGAGCTGACACTACGCTTGTAATGGCCAGAGACATTGTTGTTTAACCACACGAGGGTAATTGGCTGTGCGATATACCCGCCGCCAACGATCGCGAAAAGAGCGAAATATCGGACTCCGACTGCAACGTGATGCATGTTCAACAAGATGGCGTATCCGATAGTCGCAAGGAGACAGCCTCCAAGGATGAACCCAAAGCGGTGATGCATTTTGTCGCTGAGAACAGCGCACGTCAACGCGCAGACAGTCGCAAAGACGAAAATGGGAATCGACATGACTTGTGCATGGATCGAGGTCCAACCAAGCTGTTTCAAGATCGTCGGGGTGAAGAATGCTCCTGAATAGCTGGTCGTGACTATTCCCAAGTACATAAGAATACTATCCCGGTTAGCCCTTCCATGCACGCAATGTGGCCAATATCTTACTGACCCAAGGTAGATTTTGATGTCGCTGAAGACACGCCTAGCTGTCTTGTTGTTCCAGTGGCTCATGTTGGCACCCTCGACATCCATTGCCAGTCGAGCGATGAGTAGCTCTCGTTCGGCGGGCTTCAGGAACTTCGCCGTCTCTGGCCAATCCGGGACGATCCAGTACGCAGCAACGGCTACGACGACGGTGAAGATGCCTTCGAGGATGAAGATCCATCTCCACCCGGCATAGCTTCCGATGCCGTCCATATGGGCAATGGCATACGCCAGGAGACCGCTGAAAGCGCCGGCTATGATGGAAGCAGAAAAGAACAGATTGAATCGCCATTGGAGTTCGTGGCGCTTGTAGAACCTATTCCATTATCAGCATGGCCTGATTTTGTACCTCCTGTTTGACCCCTGGCCTGTCAAACGGCGCTGCTTGACTGGCGCGACTTACATTGAGATGAGATAGAGACAGCCCGGGAAGAACCCGGCCTCTAGCGCACCGATGATGATGCGACAGACCACGAGCCCTGCGAACGAATGTGTAACGCCCTGGCAGACCGTGACCACGCCCCAGCCTAACATGATGGATGGAATGAAGATTGACGGCCGAATCCTTTTCAGCAGGAGGTTGGAAGGGACCTCTAACAAGATGTACAAGATGAAGAACGTGAACAAGGCGATGTTGTAATCCTGGCCGTGCATGTTGAGGTCCTCCTCCAGACCCTGGATTCGTGCATTGCCGATATTTATTCTAGAGTAACGTATGTCAACTTGGGGAGGTTCAGCGCACTTGAATTTCAATGAGCTCACCGGTCAATGAAGGCGCAGAGAAAAAGAAGGAAGAGGATGGGGACCAGGTTGAGATCAGTCTTCAGCAGCACCTTCTTTTCCAAGGCGCGGTCTATTTCTTGAGCCTCGCCTTTTATGCTCAGGCTGTTGAAGTCCACAGCATCCTTGTCGACAGGCACGTCCTCGATCTCGGACCTGTCGTGGATCTCCTTCTCAGCCATTGTACCGGATTCAATGATTACACCTTCAGCAGAGCCTCTGGCTCAAAGCGATAGCTGCACAGATATTTCGAGCCGCGACGATGGCAGGAACAAAGGCAGGAAATTTTAGAGGTTTGGAATCGAGGACTGTCTGGATCGCAGTGGCTCCACCGTTCCATTTATCGTCCTGCTATCAAAATCCTGGTCGTTGATAGACGTTGGATACGCTAACAGACCGAGGTTCGCTACCGAGCACTGTCATCACCACTGTCACAATGATTCCGCTCGTGGCGTCCAGTCAACCTTCCCCGGATATGGGGTTGCATGGAGCTGGAGACTATTTTCCTGGCATTTCATTGCTTCAATGGCTGCCACTCCGCACGCCCCGGGGCTTGACTCAGCTAAGTAATTGCTTTAGACTGCGATCGACGCAGACAAGCAAACTCTCTGCTCGGAAGCAACCCGATCCGCAGAAAATATCGGGATAGCCGCGCGAACACTTCTTCCAGCGGATCAAGTGATTGCTACTCTACGCCAGTCGGTTGGATCTAGAATTTCTTGCCGTAGAGGCTGACGCCACGGCAACAGTATGAGGTCCCCTGGAGATTGGAGATGCCCTCTAGCCAACGAAAAGCGGGGGAAGCTTTCTCCACGTCTCACAGGGCGTGAGGTCGCGCAGGGCATCTCCTCGTACAGTACACAGCACCAGGTCTTCGGTCCGGAACCGCGAGCACATCCCTTATCCTGCGTGCCCTGCAGGGCGACACCAGCCCATACCCTCTACAGGACTGGCACTGGCATCCTGGGTGCACCGGAGAATGTCCCTATATGGAATGCAGACCACCAATACGCGCAGAGCTACAGTACCCAGCAGGAGTGTGGATGTTTTGCCAGTTCACACATCGCTAATTAGCGACTAGGAGCGGAAGGTCCGAGTGCGGAACGGCTACGAAGCAAGCGCGCGGGGGCGGATTGAAGCCGCGCTCAGCCTGTGAGGCGCCGCTCAGCCAATGAGCTAAACCGTTTTCTTTTCCTCCGAGGCGCTCTGCCTCTATTACACTGTGTCCAGGCCTTCTACTGTCCAACGCTCTGTGCTCGTCGAGATGAAGCCGCTTTGCGTGTCATGCATGCGCGCTCAAGACAGACCGAGGAAGACCTGAGCATGGCCGTATGTCGCCTATTCTCAAGAAGGACTTCGGACACCAGGATGACCATGCGAGATTCTGATATACTGGCGGCGCGGCCAACTTACAGAAACGGGTTTGTGCAGGAGTCACAAGTTCGTCAAGAAGGGAAGACGTGCCATCGCGCGAACAAAGCAGAGGCCGCTGGGTCATGATATGGACGAAACTAACGTTGCAGAGTGGAGAAGGTCACTGGTCAGGTCGGTGCGGATAATCAGATCTAACTATTACGATCGACCCAGTCCAGTTCAGTCGGTGAGAAAAGGACAAAGTGTTGAGCCTCAGTCTGGTTCCGGTTCTGCCTCTGGTCCTGCCTCTGGTTCTGTGCTTCCGTTACTCTTCGTGGCCCTCCCTGCCACGGTTGCTGCCCGGCTGGCTTCTGGGGCTTCCCTGGTTTTTCGAATGAGCGAGTGGTGGAATATCCAACCTAGCTTGGCTACGCAGGCGTAGTGTGATGGGTGTGGCATTTCGTTGGACTGCTCTGGAGGATCAATCTATCGGACATATAGCACAGTACCTAGTCAGTCCCGGGTTCTAGGAAAGTCTATATATGCTGTCCTGACTCCTGTCTGCTCGTCTGTTTGCTTGTCTGTCTCTCTGTCTGACTGTTTGTCTGTCTGTCTATCTATCTATCCATACGTCTATCGAAGAGCCAGCTCCTTCTGCCATTGTCTCGCGGGACATCTAGCCTGGACTGGAAGTTCCTCATGTCTTGCATTTGGCGAGAAGGCCCTCCCACGGCCTCAACGCTGTGCGCCCCATCTGCGGCTTCTCAGGCCGCCCTTTTGTATACGTACTGCAAGCCCAGAAATCGACCGCCGGGGTCTCAGGCAACGGCCACTCCACATCCTTGGCCGAGAAATTGAGAACGACCAGCCATTGTTCCCCCGCCTCGCTTGTGCGGATATATGCCAGGACATTAGGGTCTTCGGGCGAAAGTTCTTGGTAATCGCCGTAGACGAAGACATCGGCATGTTTCTTGCGGTCATGGATGCCTCGCTGCCAGAACTGCCATGTGGACAGCTCGCTGTTGCTGTTGGTGCCGGTACCTTGCTTCATCTGGTCTTCCGCGTTGATGCCGTGCTTGAAATCGTCCATGACGCGCATCCACGGTTTGACGCCCTCGTTGCAGAAGCCAGCATTGGCCGAGCTGTCCCACTGCATGGGGGTTCTCGCGTGCTATTTAGATGTTCGTTAGCCATGTGAAGAACCACGCTATAAGAGAATGCAGGTCTGATATGTAGCATGCGGTAGAAAAGCTGATCCTGCTTGTTCATCGGGGACACTTACGTCTCTGGCTTTCATGTGGATGATTTTCTTGCCTTCTTCTAGCTTTTCCGGGTTGTCCTTGTATATCTGCTGGCATTTCTTCCAGTAGTTTATCGTCTCGATGTCCTTGTACTCCTCGGAGATGTTCCAGTGCGTAGGCGCGTTGCGCATGCCGATTTCTTCACCTTGGTAGACGAACAGAGTGCCTCCGAGTGTCGTTTGCATGAGGGCAAGCAACTTGGCGCCCTTTTCCCGCCACTCGTCGCTGTCGTCCGTGTAGCGACTGACGCTTCGCGGGTTATCGTGGTTCTCGATGAAGACAGAGTTCCATCCATCTCGCTCGATCATGCAGCGTTGCCACCTCGTGATAATCTTCTTCATCTCCTTGACGTCCCATGGTTTCAATGCCATGCGCACGTTCGGCTTGTCAATGTCGACGATATCAAAGATGAATATCATGTTGAGTTCTCCAGCGTTGGCGCCCACTGTGCGCAGGATCTCGTTTTCATCCGATACGCCTGGCATTTCGCCTACAGTGATGGTGTCGTATTTGGAGAGGACTTGCTGGTTCATCTCGCGAAGGTAGTCGTGTAGTTTGGGGCCGTTGACGAAGAATTGCGTCCCCGGTTGGTACTGATGGGTTTTTGGGTCAAGGACCACAGGAGCATCGGGATAGGTCGGCACTTTAGAAATCATGTTGATCACGTCCACTTGTATCAATAACATTAGCACTGCGAACGGCAAGGAGCTACGATAGCACTTGGTAATGCCGCGGTTATGATGAGCCTATCGAGGCGACTTACTGCGAAATCCTGCCACGCCGCGGTCAAGCCAGAAGCGCATCACATCCCAGACGGCGTCCCTTACATCCGGGTTCTCCCAGTTGAGGTCCGGTTGGTCAGGCGTGAAGACAGACAGATAATACTCGCCGGTCTCTGTGTCGTATGTCCAGGCTGAATTTGCTTCTCCTAGGATTTGTGCCCAGTTGTTTGGCGGCTCGGTCACGCCGGCATTACTGACAGCTTTGGGCGGTTTCCATATGTACCAATCCCGCTTGGGGTTTGTTTTCGAGGAGCGCGACTCAAGAAACCACGGGTGCATGTTCGACGTGTGGTTGACCACGAGGTCCATCATCAGTTTCATATCTCGCTTTTTCAGTTCCGAAATGAGGTTGTCCACATCCTCGATTGAGCCATAGATGGGGTCAATCACCTTGTAGTCGGCGATGTCGTAGCCCATATCCGCTTGGGGCGATTTATAGATAGGCGACGTCCAGACGACATCGATGCCCAGCTGTTTCAGGTAGTCGACGCGAGATGTTATGCCTTTAACGTCGCCCCAGCCGTCGGAGTTGCTGTCCTGAAAGGACGACGGGTAGATTTGATAGATGACGGCTTCTTTCCACCATTTCGGGGTCGTGTAGCTGGACTTTTGCGACATCGTGCAGCCGCGACATACAAACGAGAGACTGAGAGATAAACACGGGGGGGGGGGGGGGGGGGTGAAGGAAATCCGTCTTTGCCTACCGGTAGCTCATTTCAGACCAACTTCTCATAATCATCATCAATGCTTGAAGTTTTGAGAGTCTCATCGTTGCAGCGAAAGAATCTCCGACCATATGTCGTCATCGCCTATTTCGGAAGCCGCACCGGCGATCCGGTCTCCTTACTGTCTCTTCAGAGCATCGTGAGCGCGACGTGACTGCGTACTGGTGCTGTAATAAGCAAGCTGTGCTGGAGGATGTCTTGGACCGTAGGGACAAGATCAAGCAGAATCCAGAGGTCAGCACCATTAGCCGCAACATCTTCGTCCATACCATACTTGAATCGCTGCCACTGTGCCAGCCAGTCAGGGGCAATCACACTCGCACGCACTGTGCGAGTATGAGGTAGCGGCTGACAGCGATCACAGTGATGGAAGAGAACGCCCCGACTGCTCTTCAAGTGTAGATATGTACAGATGTACAACAAGCTGATGCTTGGAGAGCCAATCGGCAGTGGGAAACCAACCGTTGCTTGTGGTCGGAAAGGGACAACGGAATTTCCTCCGGGCGGCCACGCGCAACACCCACTTCCTCGTTGCCGTCTTAATGGGAAACCATCCATTGATCAAGGGAATCCAGTCTCATAGACCTTGCACCTTGCAAGTGTGACAGCGAAGCAACATGGCATCCTTGAAATCATGGTTTCCCGTTCCAAAATCGAGCCATTTCTCCTTGGCCAACCTTCCCTTCGGGATAATCTCGACAACATCAAAGCCCACTCCGCGACCGGCTGTTGCTATTGGTGATCATGCTCTGGACCTCCAGGAGTTTGCTGCATCAGGGGCCTTCTCATCTCTAGGATTCGACGTTTCGGTGTTCTCGAAGCCGACTCTCAATGAGTTCGCTGCGCTGGGAAGACCCGTCCACCGCTCCGTCAGAAAATACCTCCAGGATGTCTTTGCTGAGAACACAACCCATGCTGATGTTCTCAAGAATAACAAGGACCTTCAAGGAAAGATCCTGTTCGCACGCGACCAGGTGAAGCTACATTTACCCATGCACATTGGCGACTACACGGACTTCTATGCGGGCAAGAATCATGCCTTCAACGTTGGCTGTTTGTTCCGAGGACCAGACAATGCTCTACAGCCGAATTATACGCATCTTCCTGTGGGATATCACGGCCGAGCTTCGTCAGTGGTAGTCTCAGGAACCCCGATCACTAGACCCAACGGTCAGATACTGGAAAACCCTGCAGCAACGCCCAAAGTGCCGACGTTCAGCGCCTGCAAACGACTGGACATCGAACTGGAGCTTGGCGCTTTCGTTTGCACAGGAAACGAAATGGGCAAGCATATTCCGATTTCTGAGGCTGCCGAACACATTTTCGGATACGTCTTACTGAACGACTGGTCAGCCCGCGATATTCAAGCATGGGAATATGTGCCACTCGGACCATTCTTAGCCAAGAACTTCGGATCCACCATAAGTCCCTGGGTTGTGCTCGCTGATGCATTAGAGCCTTTCAGATGCAAGGGCATCCCCAACGAGACGCAGTTACTCCCATATTTGAAAGAGAAGGAAGAGAACAACGTGTATGACATTCGGTTACAAGTCGACATCACGCGTAAGTCCAACCCTGTTTCCGTTTCAAGCGTTAATAGATGGGCTGACCGCTTGCCACAGCTGCTGGTGGATCGACTACGACCATCCTGAACTCTAATGGTCGCAACCTGCTCTTCTCTTTCCCACAAATGCTCGCTCATCATTCCATCGGTGGCTGTCCCATGGCCACAGGTGATCTTCTCGGGTCTGGCACCATCAGCGGCACCGAGACAGGCACAGAAGGAAGCCTGCTGGAGTGCAGCAAGGGCGGTAAGGAAACCATCAAGCTGAACGGGGGAGTTGAGCGGAAGTTCTTGGAAGACGGAGACGTTGTGACGATCTACGGAGTCTGCGGCTCTGAAGAATCAGGTCTGGTCGGCTTCGGAGAGTGCTCGGGGAAGATTCTGCCCGCCCCGAAGATCTAGGACGGGCTCTGTTGTGTTTCTTGCAAATACTCGTCCTGGTGCAACAATGACTGGCATTGTTGTCGTGGTTACTCCGTAGAGCTTGGGAGAATTGACACAAAAAGTCCGGAGCGCAACAATTCCGTGCTCCTTTCACAGTCTGGAATTATCTGCTCTGTCCAATGAAAACGCTTTTGTTCTCGATTAGTCCCTACTAAGGAGGCTAGCGTCAGGGCTAATAACGGCTTTCCCCGGTTTCGTTAGAGGCGCACGTGAGGGGCTTCTCTCAGACCCCCTCCTTCTCTGCCCATCGAAGCACAGGAACATCAAGATCCTGAGCGCGGAATCTCGCCGTGACATGCAAGTCCTCCTCTCCATCTCCGCTCTGCTTGCAGATGACAGCTCCGCCGCTGGGTTGGTGTAGCGGTTATGTGCTTTTGTGCCGAATGTAAGCGCCGGCCTAAGACTGACGTTGCCCGAGTTTTGTCCTGCTTACAAGCCGACGAGAGCAAGCTATAAGGCGTCGTGCCAGAGGAATATAAGAAGAAATTGATGCCTTCCTTAACAAGGGGCTCTATCGTACTGGCATCTCAGCTCATCTTCGAACAGTAAACCAAGGACCACGCGGCCGCCTTGATCTTGACCAGGGTCGGTCTTTCAAGTCAAGTCTCCGAGAAAACCACCACCAACGACTCTTTGATCAGGCCGGAGACTCGGACGTCACAGCATATAACGAGACTTGCTGGGACTGTCTTCCACTGATCAACGTCTGTGCAAACCAGCATCCCTCCGCGGTTCAAATATCTTTTCTATCCCATCACGCCGCGAAAATGCTAGATGCGCTTTCTCCCACGACGCTCTCCTTTCTATTCCTTACCCTGGGTTACTTTTTCATCCGCTATTTAAACTCGACTGATCAACCAAAGATCAAAGGGTTACCAGAAATACCAGGCGTGCCACTATTTGGTAACCTTCTTCAACTTGGTCAAGATCATGCTCGGGTGACTGCTCGGTGGGCAAAGCAGTATGGCTGGCCGGTCTTCCAAACTCGCTTGGGCAATCGCCGCATTGTTTTTGCCAACACATTCGATTCGGTCAAACACCTCTGGATCACAAACCAGTCGGCATTGATCTCCAGACCGACACTGTACACCTTCCACAGTGTCGTGTCCAGCAGCCAGGGATTTACGATTGGCACGTCACCGTGGGACGAGTCATGCAAGAAACGGCGTAAGGTCGCTGCTACGGCTTTGAACAGGCCCGCCGTACAGAGCTACATGCCTTTCATCGACCAGGAGAGCTGTGTGGCTATCAAGGACATGTACAAGGACTCGATGGGCGGCTCGGTCGATTTGGACCCCAGGAAGTATTTCCATCGTTTCGCGCTCAATACGAGTTTGACATTGAACTACGGTATTCGGATTGATGGTGGGATTGATCAGGAACTGCTCCGAGAAGGTTAGTCTGTCGCCACGGCCCGTGTTTCGAGCTTGAAGCCCTAACACGAGTTGACTAGTGGTCCATGTGGAACGCGTGGTGTCCAACTTCCGGAGCACATCCAACAACTGGCAGGACTACATTCCTCTCCTACGATTACCATTCATCTCCCGTCAGAATAAATCCGCAGCCGAATATCGAGCGCGACGAGACAAGTACCTCACTACATTTCTGGACATGCTCAAGGAACGAATTGCCAACGGCACCGACCGGCCCTGCATCACTGGAAACATCATCAAAGATCCCGAAGAGACGCTCAACGAGGCGGAACTCAAATCGATCTGCCTGACCATGGTGTCGGCCGGCATTGACACCGTCCCAGGCAACATGATCATGGGTCTCGGGTACCTCGCCTCGCCCGAGGGCCAGCACATCCAACAGAGAGCCTACGAAGAGATCATGAAGGTCTACCCCGAGGACGGCGAGGCCTGGGAGAAGTGCCTGACCGAGGAGAAAGTGCCCTACATCACGGCCTTGACCAAGGAAATCTTGCGCTTCTGGACCGTCATCCCCATCTGCCTCCCTCGCACCAGCATCAAGGACATCAAATACAACGACGTGACCATCCCGGCTGGCACCGTCTTCTACATGAACGCCTGGGCCGCCGACTACGACGAGACGCACTTCAAGGATCCCACCAAGTTCATGCCGGAGCGCTACCTCAACGACCAAGAAGGCAGCGGCACTCCCCACTACGGATACGGCGCGGGCAGTCGAATGTGCGTTGGCTCGCACTTGGCAAACCGAGAAATCTATACAGCTTTTCTGCGCATGATCGTGGCCTTCGAGTTCGTCCCCGCCAAGGACGCCAAGGACTGGCCTATCCTCGACGCCATTGAGTGTAATAGCATCCCGACCGCGCTGACGACGGAACCCAAGCCCTTCAAGGTGGGTTTTAGAGTTAGGGACAAGGCGGCGCTGGAGAGGTGGATCCAAGCAAGTGATGAGCGGACAAAGGACCTGTGAGGCCGTACGAGTAACGCAGCATGAGCATGGACGGAGTAATTTGCGGTGCGGTGCGGCATGGATTTTGAAAATCCTTCCGGCTTAGGAAAGCTTGGTATGTGATGCGATCTGAGTTGAACAAGGCTCCACGGGAAAGGAGCGGTGCATAGGGAATAATTGAACAGACCAGCGGCCAGCCAGAAACGAATTTCTGAATGACCCATCATTTGGCATGAGCATCGTGCCGGTTTAGCGGCGGATCCCAAATTTAACCATCTCCTTACTGGTCGTTTTGCGTGACTCGATTGCGCATCCACTGTCAACGGTCGAACACTGTACCAGGCTGTTTGGTAGTATGCGGCAGGGGGGAGCAGAACCATATGGCTCACCCACCCATGGCGCAAAAGGGCAGAGAGAATCAAACTTATCGTTATGGTCAGGTCCTCTGAGCAATTCAATTTCTGTAACGTCCTCTTGACTGAGGACCTTCTCGCGCTACAGTAGCTCTATAGGAAAAGAGTATTTATTTGTTTTATGTTCCTCATGTCCTAGCCCTGCTACAATATGTAGCCTGCAAACAGCACCAGTGCGGCCGACAACCGTGGCCACAAAGTTGAACAAACGGCGGGACGGCCTCCAGATCGGACGTCTACGTCTCTGTATCTTTCGGGAGAAGGAAGTACGAACCGAGCAAGCAGGCCGCGAACATACAGGTCGCGTGCTATGTATGTGGCCCTTGGTTACCTACCTGAACCATACGAGGTACAGGGTACACCGTACCTTGAAACCACGTCCGTGTCCGCATACCAGCCATGTCGCGCCGACTACGTGGGTACGCCACCGAGCGTAAGTATCCATCTCTGTGTCCTGCGTGTATGTAGTGACGCAAGACTAACGTGCTGAGAATGCAAGCACAGCCGTGTCATGGTGGCAACGAAACGAAGTCATTCAGGGCATCATCGAGCAGGTCGAGCAGGGGAGGAGGGAGAAGATGGCGCAAGGTACGGATATGATACCCAGTGAGTGACTCCAGTATCCATTTCATGTTCTTCATCGCCGCAGGTTCTGTTTTCCGTGAGACTCAGGATTCAGCATAAGTGGTTTGTGATTTGAAGTATTGTTGTGTTGGTGTACTGTGTCCAAGTTCTTGATATTTTATGCATGCCTGGATAAGAGCCTGTACAGAGTATTCCAGGTTGTACCTCGGGCGGGTCCATGGATGCGCAGTTAGCGATGACGCAAACACCAACTCCCGTCTCCAGGGCTGCCACCTTGCGGTCACATTTCGAGACCGAGTCGTCCGAGTTCAGGACGTTGTCGATTCGGGATCTAGACCTTGATTGGGGGATAGCCATCGGTGGCCCTGCGGCGGCATGCTGGGAAGGTCTCTCGGCGTCATTCCGCATCGATCTTGGACTTTGCCACAGACGAACTGGAATCTTGGAGCACGAGTACGAGGTACGTACAGTACACGTGGAGCTTGAGGATCGAGACACGCACGGAATACGAGGACACAGTACCGAGTTACCTGCCGTGTACACAGTACGGGGGTACTGGGCAACAGTGTGCACGAAAGCCGATAGAGCCGACTCGCTCGATCTCTGGGTGTCGGTTTCGCCACTGTCACCATTTCAACGGCTTCAAAAGTTAGAGGCTGGTATTGGCAACGGTCAACGGCGACCGTACTGTGGTAGAGTCTGAGGTTGCAGAGGTCCCACTACCACAGTACCACAGTACACGCCCTGGACCAAAGTCTTGATTTCAGGCTGTTTGCGGTGGTGAGATCGTCATGAGCAGCCGGCTCGACAACGTGGTCCGGACATGCAGTGAACGTTCGAGAACCGATCGAAATGGGGACAGCAGCTGGCGTCATACAAAGGGAGCTCGGTTGTCATTCGTCTGCTGGGGTAGCTCTTACCCAGCTTTCGCCCGGCATGGATCATGTGCTGTGTGGTTGGAGGTTGTGGAGGGTTGCAGGCTCGGCATTCATCGGGAATTCCTCGAGGAGCAAACGCAATCCTCCCAAAAGGATTCCTCACCAGCAGCGCTGATCGCACACAACATTTCGATCTCTTGCCGGGGGCACAGTCTCCCATCAGCCGAACCGCTGATCCTCAACAATTGCCCGGATCGACAGGTGCAGGCAGGCGCCAGTCTCTGAAACCCTACCGTGGTAGTTATTCTTGTCCTGAAACTGGCCCATTGCTGCAAAGCTGACACAGAAACAGCACCAACTTCAGGCCGGCTGCGTCGGAGACCTTTGCTCACCCACGGCTGTGTACCTTGTACTGATGCTACTCAAGTCTCACCCTCACTCCCGCGCCTACACCCTTCGCTTGCAATGCATCTTGTGAGGGGTGCATCTGATCAAGGCGTCTGGGACAACCTTGCATCATTATCGGGTGCATAAACACCATCAACGGTGGATATCTCCTGCAGGTGTGGTGGGATGCAGTTTCTGGCGGGAAATCGGCACCGTTGACACCAGAAATTTGGAGAAGTCCAGTGCACACTTGGGGTGAATAATGGGCGCCCGAGAAACTCAGCTCGGGCGTCCTCGATTCGCCCTGCCGATCGCCCCACAGCCGCGCTACTGCCCCTAACGTGCTGCTAAACTTGCCCTCGAGCCTGTCCTGCAAATCACCGTCATAGGCGTCGCAGCAGGCATCCCGCACTGCGGCATCGTCCCTCTGTGCTAGCGCTCGGTGGGGACTCAACTGAATTGCGAAAGCTACGAGTTGCGCCTCCTCCCGTGCGTCCATGTCAGAAATTGGTATCGCTGGCTTTGGTGGCTTGATCTCATCCACTCAGAGCCGCGCCAGTTCCGATTCAATCCTCGAGGGCAGCCAGGGACGTCGTGGACATCCCACTCTCGGGCTCACAGGACGTGGCCCGTTCGTGCGCACCTTCGCAGCGAAACCGCCCTGGCCTCACTCAGGCTTTATCCTCGTGTTTGACGCTGCGCTTCCGGCTGCTTTTGCCAACCAGGAAACGACACAAGCTGGCAAAGCACCTCGCACGGCTCGCGGTCTGCCGGAGACCGCCCTGTCCTGTTCGGTGGCTGCCCCCCTGTCACTTTGCTTTTTCGCGAATTTGGTTTTAGCGGCATCCGCACTATTGTTTTGGAGCAAACCCACTTTTCTGCCCTGGTGCGCTCAGGCTGGAGGCTCGCTTGATTTCATTCATATTCCTCCCCACGGAATGAGTCCCTCGCCTCTTCACGACAGCATTCCGCACTCTCCTCTCTGACCAGGTCGCCATATTTCACAGGCCATCACACCGCACGACCGCCCTTCATGCAGGGCCTCAAACGGTTACAGTCCGCCATCGAAAGGCATAGGGAGAACAAGGACATCAACATCAAGTACAAGACACCCCTCACCAGTGAGTAGACCCGGGCACTCCTCAGCGTCTCCAAGTCGGCCTGCCGCAGCCCAATATTAGACCCCGATCTCGCGCATTGGAGTTTGGCTGACTTTGTTTCACTCCCAGTTCGGAACGTGAATACCTTCACCGACGAGCAAGCCATCGACGATGCCTGTAACCCAATTCGCTGTGACCGACACGTACGAATATCTGAATGGGTTCGGGGGATACAAAGAGTATGCACTATTCAAGGATGATAAAAGGGTCGTTTCGGCTGACGGTCCATTATTAGGAGTGAGGCCATCGAGGGTACTTTGCCGTTAGCGGCGAACTCACCACAAAAATGCCCGTACGGCCTGTACAACGAGAAGTTGTCAGGTACCGCGTTCACCGCGCCCCGTGACGAGAACCAACAAACATGGCTCTATCGAATTCTGCCCTCTGCAAGCCACCAGAACTTCGAACCAGTCTCGGCCTCTTCGTCGCAGGGCCTGGCAACTCCCACACCCAGCTTCGGCACACATTTCAACGCGATTCCGAACCAGCTGCGGTGGGACCCCTTTGACCTGGACAAAGAAGTGTCATGGATTCACTCTCTCCATCTTGTGGCTGGCGCGGGCGACCCCACCATGAAGCAGGGGCTGGGCATCTACATCTACGCCTGTGGCACTAGCATGCCCGAGAAGACAGCATTTTACAGTGCAGACGGCGACTTCTTGATCGTCGCACAGCATGGCGTTCTTGACATCCGCACCGAATTTGGCAAGCTACTGCTGCGGCCGAACGAAATCTGCGTCATTCCGCGGGGGATCCGCTACCATGTTACATTGCATAACAACGAACCCGCACGAGGATACATCTTGGAGCTGTACCAAGGCCACTTCAAACTGCCCGAACTCGGTCCCATTGGCTCGAATGGGTTAGCCAACGCGCGCGACTTCCAAACACCAGTGGCCGATTTTATCGAGGACTACGAGAACACGCAGTGGACGGTGTATGGCAAATTTGGCGGCAACCTCTTCTCGGCCAAGCAGTCGCACACCCCCTTTGATGTTGTCGGCTGGCACGGCACCTATTTCCCTTACAAATATGATCTGGGCCGTTTCAGCCCCGTCGGCAGCATCTGCTACGATCATCCTGATCCTTCTATCTTCACTGTTCTCACTGCGCCCTCGCATCCTCACGGAGCGGGTACGGCGGTTGCAGATTTCGTTATATTTCCACCTCGATGGCTGGTGGCAGAGAACACCTTCCGCCCTCCGTGGTATCATCGAAACACCATGTCCGAGTTCATGGGCTTGATCATGGGTAACTACGATGCCAAGGGTGCTGGAAAGGGAGGTTTCCAGCCGGCTGGGGCGAGTTTACATAATACTATGAGCGGGCATGGACCAGACATGCAGACATTTGAAAAGGCGTCGACGATGGACTTGCCACCCACAAAGGTCGGCGAGGGTAGCATGGCGTTTATGTTTGAGAGTTGCTTGATGGTGGGCGTTACAGAGTGGGGTCTGAAGACTTGCCAGAAAGTTCAGGAGGTGAGTTGCAGTCGGGTGCTCTCGGACGTGGTTGACAATATGCTAACAACGACTACAGTCATATAATGCTCATTCGTGGGAGCCGTTAAAGGTGCATTTCAAGCGACCGGAATCGTCGCGCGGCGTCAGCAATGGCGAAAAGAAGCATGCGGTGGGTGATGCGAAAGACGCAAGCAGCGTCCACGCCCTTCGTTGAAGGGAAGTGTAAGAGGGGGATAGTCCCTACAGTATACACTGCTATATCCAGTGTGGTTGACGGCCTCTAGTACTCATGGTTGCTGCCTCTCACGACAGGATCATAATAAGATACCCCTACAAAACCTGCTTTTCCTGCTTTGGCCGAGTGACTCCCCGGTAAAGACCTGGGGAACATCATCCCACGCTGGCACTGACCCAGTTACCGGGACCTCGTATCACATGCCTTCAACACACCCTGTGAAGTGGGGGGAAGGGGAGCTACTGTACTCCGTAAGGAGCAGCAAAAACCATGCCAAAGCTGAGCCCGAGGTGTTCATGGCCCCAGAATCCCGCCCTCCAATCACGCCGCTCTCTGAAGAACGTGGACGTCCTTTTCCCTGTCAGTCTCCCGTCACTTTCTTCTCTGCGCACTCCTGACGCTCATGCTCGAAGCAAATCCCTCGAGATGACCGTGTTTGTTTCTACACCCATACGCGGCTCCCTCCCACCCCTTCTCTCGGTCACAATACAGCCACTGACCGTCACCGCCGCGGCACACGGGGTCTCACTAGGCTGGCTTGCTTGCGGACGGGAATGCTCCAATAACCTATCAGGGCTCTTCCACGAGGTTCGTCCCTTCAACGAGTGTCGCGTGCTTTTTCTCCTCGCATCAGGCACACGTGCCCATATCCGACTGTCTCGACGTCTGAGAAATTTGGATGCGGATTGCAAGTTCGCAAGTTGCCGCCCATATGTCTTCCTGCTACTGTTCGAGTTAATTTTGGCTTCATCCTCAGCTGCTGTCTATTCCATCATGTCTTCAGTCAAGCATAGTTGTTTGTCAATTCATTGTACTGTGGTCTGATCCTATTTGCGACTTCACGCTCGACCCTCGATAGTTTTCCACCAAAGCACTTGGATTCCTTCGGCGTATCTTCAAGCTATTGCCCTGAACATTGAGCGGTTCTCCTACAGCGACCACCCAGAGTCGTCGGATCTCAACTATGCCCAAACCGAGACCTCCACCCACTCCAACCGGCTCTACAGACCTGGCTGCTGCGGAAGCCAAGGGTCACCACGCCGCGGACATGGAATCGATGTTTGCCCTACCTCCTCCAGCGATGCGAAGCGATGCCCATGCGCAAGCGCGGCCTTCAAAATCGTCCCAAGCCAGAAAATACTCGGGCACTGCACCCACACAGGCCACGCCCCCCATCTCACCCCAGGACAAGCCCCTCACTGGCAGTCCTCGACACAAGAGGACCGCGTCCGGCGCAGTCAAAGCCGCCGTGGAGGCCAAATGGGCCAGCGCCGATGGCGCAGACTCGTACGCCCTGCCTCCTCCGCCGAGCCGAGCACGCAAGATCATACAAATGAAGCCCAAGGGCCCCCAGACCAGCACCTCGTCCCCATCCAGTGATGCCGACTACCTCCCTCCCGGATCATCGAGTGCAGCATCAGCGGTCCACTCGGCGCCTTCTACCAAGGAGTCCGCGACAGGGAGGGCAGCAACAGCAGCGTCGGCGGGCGCATCAACCATCTCGAAGCGCAAACAGCCCTCCGCGACAAGCGCCGCGGGCAGGAAAATCGCCCGCAAGACCGCCCACAGTATCATCGAGCGTCGACGGCGCAGTAAGATGAACGAAGAATTTGGGGTGCTGAAAGACATGATCCCAGCGTGCGAGGGGGTGGAAATGCACAAACTGGCCATATTGCAGGCTGGGATCGAATACGTGAGATATCTCGAGGGATGTGTGGCGCAACTGAAGGCAGAGAACGCGCGGTCGGGCAGTAACGAGATGAGACCGTCTGCGGCTGCTAGGTCGCGAATGGAAGTAGACGACGCCTCAGTCGAGGACGAGGACTTTGATGACAACGACGATGAGGAAGATGAAGACGAGCAGCTCGAACGTCAGAACGAGCCGGAAGTGGACGAGCTCGTCGATCACATGCCCGACCCAGCTCCTCCAGCCAAGCTACGGAGCAACAGACACAGCACAACGGCCACAACAGAGTGGTCGCTTCGAGATTCTCGCAGGCCGTCCATCGCTTCCTTGACTGGGTCCTCGGCGTATCCTTCTCCGCACATCCTCTCCCAATCGCAGTCACTGGGGAGCCAGCCGCATCAGGGTGTTGGTATGCTGTCGACGACTCCGACGCCAACGCTGCTCTCGCCAGCGTTCAATTCCATTCACTTCTCGCCGGATCTGTCGCGCACTCAAACAAACAGCAGCGTCGCCAGATCTAGCACCTCCTTAGCTTCGACGGCGGCGTCGTGGACTACCGTCAACAATCCTCCGTCGGGATCGATCTCGAATCCCTCGCCCAGCATGCAGCCACTCCCGTCGCCGAAAGCCATGATGGGCATTCCGCTGCCTCAGCCGGCCATGACAAGGCTAAAATTGCCGGGACAATACAATGCGGCCGTCCAATGGGAGAGGGATGCCGGAAGCAGGAGTCCTGGAGCTGCGAGTAATGGGTCAGGAACCGCGGAAGCAACGGCCAGTGCGGCGCTGATGATGCTGACTAACGAGTGGCGTGGCGGAGGACGACAGGGAGGCCCGGAGGCGGGAGTGGGAGCGGGAGCGCCAATAGCTTCTGAAGGTGCCGCTGGACAGGGTGATGTTAAGGATCGAGGCAAGGGGATGAGTGTTCGGGACTTGCTGAGTTCCTGAGGCTGCTACTGTATGTTCCTAATGACTGTACATGTGTACAGCATCGAATTGGGTGGTGCCCATACCTTTGACGGAATCAACCACGTATGCTCGGCCGACTTGACTAGCTTCGAGACAAGAAGCAAGACGCAAGCTAACCATCCGTTTCCATACCGATCAGCGGCGCTCTCAGCTGCACCGCCCAAATCCCTCGGCCTTGATCGGTATGTCTTGCTTGACAGACCGCGATCTCACGAGACCCTCCCTCTCGTCTGGCCTCAGGAGACCTCTCTCTACCTTTGCATATCTCATTCAAGTATATCACGATTTGCCCGAGTCGGAGGAGACCACGGATCTTGCAAGAGGTACACCTCAAGATAACCTACATCTTGCAACACTCCATTACAAAGAAACAAGGAATTTCAAGGTCAACTAAGCCACGATTCTGACAAGTTCAACTCGAATGTCTGCAACCTCAAAGCATGGTGTTGTTTGCCCCTAGGGACTTCGCTGCTCTTGCCGAGAGAGAACCACTGTCATCCTCCGCCTAGTTCTATCCCCTTTATGACCTATGACATATTCTTTCATGTCCAAGACATCCCTCACACGCACATCCTTGTGGATGTCTCGTCATGTATCCGAACCGGTCAGTTGACAACGACACTTGATACAGGGAGGATTCAAGGAAGTGGCTGTCCAAGACAGCAATGAGTCAATCGGCTGTTGCTGTTCAGTCGTCTCATCACAAAGCACGGCATCAGCGTATACAGTACAGACAAAGACAAAGACCACGATACCGCCAAGTACCTCACGCAGCAGCATTGAAGGGGTATAATAGGTATAATACCTTTCGCGACCTCGTCATGTCAACGAGCCAGCCTCACCATCATCGGTCCTTTCCATCCTCAACCACTAGGAGAATACCTACCGGTACTCCTCTACTACATATCTCCAGCCCCGTCGCCCTTCGCCATCTCCCTAACAACCCAAGGAATACCCCGGACCCGTCCAAAATCATATCAGCCACAGCGCCCTCTCGCTCGCCCGTTCGCGGCGACGCCGCCCAAAAGGAAAACCCCATCAATCCCAACGACAATAACCATGCCGTTCTTCTATATCCCCACCCGTCGCCACCACCAGCACGGCGCACCCCATTGCCAAAAAGGGCGTATCGGCTTCCCCTCGAAAACCTACCTCGCCAGCCTGACCGAGCAGGAGCTGCGGCACCGCATCTCGGAAACCAAGGAACAACTCGCTATCGCAATCACCCGGTACGACCGCCTCGATAGGCATTTGGGCGAGCAGCTGAGCAGAGTCCAGCGGATGAAGGACGCGCTCAGGGCGCAGGATCAGGTAGTTGAGCAGGCGAGGGATACCAAGGAGGCATATGTAGGGGAGAAGATGTCGAGGGATGATGAGAGGGAGAGGGCGAGGCGCGGAAAGGCGTGCGGCGGGGTAGCGGCAGGGACAGGGGCAGGCCGAGCAGGGGAAGGTGGGGAGAAGCGGCGTGGGATGAGATGAGAAGAGTAAAAGGCTTAATGGAAGGAACTTGATGGGTTGGGGAAAGGTAAAATGTACATACCTAGCAGAGGGGGGCGTCGACGCGCATTGAAGGCGAGGCGCGCAGTAAGATCAGAAGGCGGACCGGTTCGCCCGGTGCCATGCCACGCCATGCCATGCCATGGGATCAGATTGGCGGGTACATACTCTGAGATGGTAGGTGGGTGTACTGAACGTACCATGTCCTTCTATCTGTCTGGCAGGCTGAATGGCTGAATGGCGAACCTTGTGTCCATGAAAAGCAGTTTTCAATCCCATTACTTAGCACGGGTATTGAGTTGGAATGTAGTACACTCACGGCATCGATCTATGAAGGCGCTTATATGTCTCGCAAGGCACATGTCAAGCGCCGAGCTTTCACAAAGGCCCCCTTCTTTGGAAGGGAAGGATGTCAAAACCGGAGCCTAGAGCGGGAGAGCAATCTGCCAAGTAATGTGGAAGCCAACTTGATGGCCGGATATCTCAGATCGTACGCCAGGTATCCATGCGCATCACGCGCGAAAGTGCACCGTGCACGCCCATAAACTCCGTACATATGGAAATCCTTCCTAAACGCCCAGTATTTCGTTCGCCAGGTCCTGAGCGAATCTAGCGCGGATGTGCGCGCCCATTTACTCCGTACATATGAAATCCTTCCCAAACGCCTTCATCCGTCCTGGTCCCGGAATTCGTAATCCCGACCCCTGGCATGTCCAAGATAGCTATCGTCATCATAGAAGTTGGGAAAAAAAAAGAAAGAACGGAAACCTATAGAAAACCTAACACTTGTCTCCCACCATTTCTCGGGGCGTCACCGGCCTGGAGTCCTGACCGTACCAGTGCTCGTGGGCTTGATCTTCCGTGAGGTCACTACTGCCTCTGCCACTGACAGGCAATTCTCGAGGAGGTGTCCAACGCTCACGTTCTTGGTCACCATCTTCGCTTTCGAAACTGCCGCGGCTACGGTATACGGCGTCCATCTCGGTTGGAAGTGGGATGGGTATCGGTACCGGTGGAGGCGGAGACATTGGACATTGCGCAGATAGCGCGTGTAGGTGTGTTTGTGAATCTGACCGGTCGTGAGATTGAGATCGCAAGCACTCGAGGCTATCTTTGCGCGGGCGTCTAGGAGGGGGTGATCTACCATTCCTTTTCGGGCGTGGTTCTTCCGTCTGGGTGGCCTTTGGTGATGTTTGCGTTGTGGTGGAGGCGATGGGTAAAGCACTGAAAGGTTGTGCAGCCGGCGACGTCGGCGATGTGGGTGCTGGTGTTGGTGTCGACGTCGATGGCGATGTTGGAATGGATGTGATGTCAACGTTCAACGATTTGAACTGTTCAAGGTCTTTTGCCTTCGGTGTTTGTACTCCAGGAGTCTCGGGGGTCATTGTCGTGGCGAGGCTCCATATGGTTGTACGTCGCGATATTTCTGGGTCCGGTGAGGCCGTTTGCAGGGTTGTTCCTGAGGCTGGAGGCGCTGATGGTCCATTGGGCGTCGGATGAAAGATAGATCGGATGATAAAGGCGATGCAAATGAGGACACCCAGACCGCCGAGGCCAACCCCCATGAACCAAGCACCGCGAATCCCGGCCATAGGATCAAGGCCATTATTGTTCACATGGACTTCCACCGTCGAGGCAAGACCGAGACCAAGAGAGATTGAGTAGTTCACCACTGTGCTGATCAGGCTGCCAGCAACGCCCTGTTGTTGTGGCGGAAAATAGTTGGACATAATCAAGGTGGCGGCCGGGAATGACATGTCCATACCGAACGGCATCACAACCAGACTGGCAAAAGTCCAGCTCCAGTATACCGTCTTGTCGACGTTGGAATCGACGGCGAGCAGCAGTGGGCCGAATGCAAAAGCCACTAGTGCCCAGAACAGGGTCCAGGATGGCCGACATTTCCGCATCATCCAAGCCGTCAAGACCGAGGCGATAAAGGCAACAGGAACAATGGGTAAGACCTGCACGGCCGCTTCCAGAGGAGTATCCTGTTTGATGCCAAGAAGGAACTTCCACAAGAACCACGTCCAGATGCCGAAAGTGGCCCAGCCACAGGCCACAGCACCGAGGACGAAGCCAACATCGGCCTTAAGCATCTTGAAGGGCACCAATGGCTGCTCAGCGATTTTGATCTCCGTAATAACAAAAAACGCGATGAGCAGCACCCCGATAATAAGCAGCATGAAGATATACTGTGTACTCCAACCCGATGCAGGAGCAGAGACGAGAGAGACTTGGACGCATATGAGACCGCCCACGCCCGTGACAGCGCCAAGCCAATCCATATCCCGAAGCTTGTCTTTGACAGGTAGCATCTGCTTTGGCGTTGGAGGTGGTGAGATGAGGATGATCGTTGCGGCAATGGCGAGGAAGGAGCAAACGACGGCCAGGGTGTAGAAACTCCACCACCAGGTTGCGTATTTGGTGAACAATGCACCAAAGAGCATCCCGAGGTAAGCCCCGACTGGTGCGCAAAGGCCGAAAAGCGTGAATGAGAAGATCTTCCGCTTCGACCCTGGCGGATACGTCCGACCCAGTAGCGCTAAGCCGTTGGGTACCATGAGGCTTGCACCAAGACCTTGAAAGCCTCTGGCCACAAAGAAGAGCTGGTATCCGACATAGTGGCTCAGCCCAGCAACCACGCTCCACAAACCGAGCCAGGAGAAGCCGATCACCACCATTGTCTTGTGGCCGAAGATATCGCCAAGTCGGCCTCCAATCAGAATGAAGGTTCCAAAGGTTAACGCGTAGGCGGCAACAAGCCATGGTAGTACTGAAGGATTCGACATTGAGAAGGACCTCGCAATGTCTTTGCTGACTGGGAAGACTGTTGTCAAGGTTGATTGAGGGATGAGTTGAAGGACGGCCACCATGATGTTGAAGAGAATCTCTTGGTATCTTGACATCCGTGTGCATAGCCAGCCGCCTGGAGGGCCAGCGGGACCGACCGGCGGCCCCGAAGGCTTCTCTGCATCTTGGATGCTCTTTTCTATGGCGATAGGTGTCTTTTCCATATTGCTCCGATCACTTGATGGTGGGATGATCAACGTCAATCCGCCCAGACCTTCGGAGGACATGATGATAAGGAGTGGACGGCGTTATATACGCCAAAGTCAAAGTGAGAGAGTATCTGGGGAGAGGAAGAGGGATTGAAGGGAGGGGTAGTGTTCTATAAGATGCTGTACACGACCAGATGTCGAGGCGGACCTTTGACCCGTGCTAGCGTTCGTTCTGTACCCCCCATTCGAGCTTGTATCGGCGCCGACTTACCTTTGAGATGAGTTCGGGGTCCATGCAGCGTCTCCTGGAAATTGAATCCGCGGGGTACCCAATCCTGTGTCATGTCAACGATTGGTGGGGTGCCACAGCAGAAAAGATGAAAATCTTCAAAGAGTTCCTAGTGCATAGACAAAGCAAGGCCCATTCGGAAGCCATGATGGAGGCCACATAATAAAGCCTTCTCGGATCGAATCCCGACAAGCCATTCGGATGTGAGGCCGAGGCAGATCTGGCGCATCCTGATATCAGTATCCGGCGCTCATTCCGGTTGCCGAAGATGTTCATCGTGCAGCCGCGAAGAGATAATCTCCGGCCCCAGCTCGAGATTGACGAACGGCACCAAGATAGCGTGGTCAGCGTAAACAAGAGAAGTCAATGCAGATCGTAGACTGCCCGATGAGGAAATCTACAAACAGTACCACAGACGCCTTACTGGAAAACGACGAGAATCAGGCAAGACTGGGGCAAGGTTTGTCTGTTACCTGGATAAGTATAGAGGTCGCAGTAAGAGGCGTCCGGCAGAGAGGGTCTGGAAGTGACTATCAGCTGCATGACGCGATGACGGACTGAAACAGCATGCTACCATGCCAACGAGAGACTGGCCAGAAATGTCATGTCGTGGGTTGGTATGGAAACTCGACGTGAAGGAAGATTGTGAAGTCGGAGAGTCGGGATTTTGAAAGTGTCACAAGAAATTAAAATGCCAAGACGTTCGCCGATCCCGCCAGCCAATCTCCCTTCTTCGGACCTTATTCCGTGTCTTATCCAGTTGTCTTGGCATCCCAAAGCGGCGATCGAAGCTTCAGCTCGTGTTACGGACCTTGCATGGACGCGTTCAATTCGACATCAGCGCAGTCCTTCCACAGTTCCACGAGCTGACAAGCTTCTGCAGCTTCTCTACTGCAGAAGCTCAAACATACCTGCGTGACACAAACGACGTCGTTGCTTGCCGATTATCATGTTTCTTTCTGGCTGAGACCAAGCATTGCAGGACGTTGAGCAAGTTCACTGCGTGGATCAATGCCTCCAAATGCCCCTAGCTGACCTTCTGTGCTATACTAAATATCAGAATTCGGGCTGCGCTGATGAAGATGTAAATACGGGAAGTCATGATGAAAACACACACTAGCATTAATGCATGTACAACTTATTGTGGCATTTCACCCCAAACTCCGCCCTCGATACATGAGTCAATTTGCCTACTCGGTTGGTCCCATGAGAACACCCTCGACCCTTCTGCCGCTATCACGTCGACTTCTGAAACACAACCTGCCTGTCCGGCCAACTTTTCACCAGACCGACCTGAAATTGAATAACCTGCGGCGACATTTACGGCTTCATGCGCCTTTCCAACTTCCTTGCTGTCTGACACGCAGCGAAAACGGCCCGCAGAGGCGAGCCTTAGTGCCATGCAACAAAGCAAACCAGATCGTACGTAGTACTGCCCACGGCTGGGGGCATTGAAGCAGGAGACATCTTCAAGTTGGTCCTGCCTCGGTTACGTCGAGGACGACCGGGCCTGTCGGACCAGAGGATGCACTTGGCCTCATGGATATGATGCTTGCCGTCCGACTACGCTACTGACGTTGATTGGATGACATTGCTGCATCGACCTGCTGTGTAGGCGTGCTCATCAAAATGATTCCAGACTCGAGCCACAATTAGGCACCCACGGATTTTCAGCATTCAGACAGCACCTCCAGCCTCTCCCAATAGCTTGTTGACCGACTGGAAAGCTTTCTTTGCAAACTCGCCCATGTCGTCTCCGTACTTTTCCGGCCCTTTGCTGTCGAATATCTCTACAGACACCCAGCTCCTGAATCCAGTTTTAAAGACAGCCTTGGTGAAATCCTCGACCGGCAAATAGCCCCCATCATATGGTAGTGGTCGGTAATCGTGGCTCCATTGGCCCCGGGGCCTCAAGCCACTTTCGTCGGCCTTGTCCTGCAAGGGCGGGTCCACTTTGTAGGCATCTGAGATTTGTAGAAGGAAAATCTTCTCTGGAGGGACGGTTCGTGCGAGCTCTTCGCAGCTGGCTTTCCACCTCTTCTCCAGTTCCTCCGCGCTTGTGTCTTCGATCCTTCCGGATTTGGTGACTGGACTACCCCATTCTCCTCCTGCGCTCTGAAAAGTATCCAGGCACAATCCCAGGTTCGGCTTGTTGGCCTTCTTGACGATCTCCCAGACGTCTTTCCACGTCGGAGCATGAGTTGCCCAGCACCAATTCTCATATGCAATCCGGAAGCCCTTCTCGGCGAACACATCTGCTAGCTCAGCCAGATCAGATGCCAGCTCGTCGAAGTTTCCAGAAATGCCATCTGCATCCGACGAGCCGATCTATTTGTCGGTCAGTCAGTATCGCAGGCCCGTGTCTCTCAAATGCATTGACAAGCAGAGCCACTGACCTGGAGCATGTCCGTTCCTACCGCCTCCATGATACTCATCCAGCCCTTGGCCCGCTCCCAGGCGTCCTTCCGTTCCTCACTATCCTTCGGCCAGCCCTCAAAATTCGCGAAAGGCTGCAACATCAGGATCTTCAAGCCGGCCTTCTCACACAGCTGTCCAATCTCGGAGGCCACAGATCGGAGCGTTGCGTAGTCCTTGGGATCAGGTTGTGACTTGCTTCCAGAAATCTGTTGCCCATAGGCGAGAATATCTGGCATGGAAAGCTCGATGGCGTCGAAGCCAGCACCTGCCAGAATCTTGATTTTCTCCGGGATGGTGTGCTTTTCGCTGTCGTGCCCTATCGAGCATGAAGCATAACAGATCGGGATCTCCGCGCCGTGGAAGTCTGCCATGTTCGCGGGTTAATTAATTAAGGTGAGACCAAGATCCAGCCAAGTCTGAAATGAAGATGAAGTGAGTAGATTGCTATGATGCCTTTCTCGTTTTGCTGTTCAGCCTTGTGTGACTGCTTTAGCGGTGATACTGCTCAACAGATATTAGGCACCTTTCTCGCTTTCTCTAAATGCTCCAGGTCTGGAGTTTCGCGAACATTTAAGGTGGCTGTCGTCACTTGGTCAAGCCTCGGGTCCCGGCCCGGAAAATCATATCCGGCCGAGCAACGATTGACGTCAGGTTAGTGTCAGGATGCCCACTGCAAGGCACGCCCAGGTATGAGATTGGAACGAGCGTCGACGAAGTATCCAGCCTCATGCAGTGGGTGAGCCAATACTGCGTATGCAGAGTAGTACTTCCTCGCTGCCGGCATAGCTCACATGAAACATAACGACCGAGGTTATGACATTTGCTCAAGACGAAAGACGTGATTACTGTGCATTGAGCTCCAAGCCCTCGAACTCAGCCGACAAGAGGACAAGGGGTAGAGGAATGTACATAAACGAAAACATACCTGTGGTAAGGGCGCGGAATTCGATCGCTTAGTGGCATTGGAGGACTGTCAGGAGCGCCTCATCCCACAACGGACAGTACTGGTGATATTCCTGGTCTAGTTCAGGGCGGTTAGATCTGGAACACCAACGGGATGATTAGTGTCTTGTGTGCTGAAACAGGTTGGACCTCTCTACCATGTGCAGGTGCCCTCAAAAGCACACCCTTTTTTTGGCGAATTACTTTGGAGCCACCGGGTCGATGATACAAAATCGAGATTGGAGCATGCAGCTGGTCACACAATAGTGAAGCCGGGCTAGGTGACACATGTTGAGTGGGCTCAGAAGCACCAAGCAGGCCAGCGGAGAATGAGACATTATGATTGATATCCGCCATTGGAATGCAACTAATTGGGACTATGAGGAGATAAGGATACGGCCGTCGTCATAAGGATAGCTCCTACTTCTATCCAGACTGAACTGTCCCTGCGCCATTGACTCGCAATGCAATGGCAGGATGGGAGGATGGCAGGATGGGAGGATGGCAGGATGGGAGGATGGCAGGATGGGAGGATGGCAGGATGGGAGGATGGCAGGATGGGAGGATGGCAGGATGG